TACCAGAACTACAAAGAGGATTTCGGCAGGCGGTCAGGAAGAGCCAATTTTATCTTCTCGTGTGGAGGAAGCATCGAATAAAACAAAACCCCAAAGCACTCAAACAACTGGCGACAAAGATCCAGCAGCTGATGGTGCAGTGACACAAGAAGAAAAACAAAATGGAAATAAAGAAGCCAATCCGAAGGAAACACCAGTCGAAGCCACAGTAATGAAAACCACAGCGGCGACGACTGGCGACAGTGACAGCAGCACCGCGGTCTCCCACACCACCTCCCCTCTTTTGCTTCTTCTTCTTCTTGTTGCGTGTGCGGCTGCTGCTGCGGTGGTGGCCGCGTGAGAGTGAGGGAGAGAGAGCCGTGCACCGCCCGCACACACACTTGTCTTTCACTCACTCTCTGTGTGTGTCCCCTTGCATGGACTCTCGCCCTCACCTCACCCCACGAGGCACACACATAATGTGCCCATTGTATATATGCATGCACACCCATGCAGGCCCGTTGGTGCTCTCTTTTGCACGACACGCACCGCTGCCGTCCTGCCTGGCTGCATGGGCGGAGCACCGTAACTGTTTTTGTTTCCATTGCATTGAGTGGGCGACCTCTCTCTCTCTCTCCCTGTGTGTGTGTTTTGCTTTACGGGAGCAATGAGAGTGTGTGCGCTGGTCGTCCCACGCTTGGGCTTTTCTCCTATAGTTTTGTTGTTTTACTTGTGGTTGAGTGCACCCATTACTCGTGTTTTTGAATTGGTGGCTTGAGTTGACTACGGACGCCTAAATTCTCTTTTTGTATATTTTTTTTCAGATATTTTCAGTGTTTCCTATTCTTTTCAAGCCATTAAGTATTTTCTTTCACGTACAGCATGCGTCAGTTGATCCACGTTACCCCACGGTCTGCAGTGCTGCTGGTGCTTCTGGTTGTGATGATGATTGTGATGTGTTGTGCTGGCGGGCGCTTTGCTGCCAGCCTGACGTACTCCTGCTCCTCTGACAAAGCGATGCGTGCCGACAGGGCGAAGTCGATCCCGGTTGTGGTGAGGGACGTGCCTTTTGGATCTGAGGGTGCGTCGCAGACATGCACCGTCATTGGGAGGAATGGATGGGCGCCCATCCGCATCAATGTGTCGACAAGGGACCTGGATGGTACCAGGAATTATTGCAGCTCAGAGCGGTATTAAGCAATGAATTCATTGGTGGCAATTGCGAGTGTGAAGGTGACGTTTTTCTATGCTGTGAAAAGGGAAATGTTTGTTTCGTTATACTTTGCAGACACTGTTCGTTAATGGCCTGCGGGCTGTCCGTAGCGATGTGGCCAGTTTTTCCGTCTTGAACGGTGCTGTCGTGCGAGAGGGTGTGTTCCCAAATAGTCGGATGCTCAGTTGTCGAGGACGGGGGCATTCCCACAGCGTGTGCGGCAGGGCCTCCCGTGGATTGTCGGGGGCTCAGCGGCTGGTGGGGTTGCAGCAGAGGAGTGGCTGAAGGGCTACGGCTGTCATTGGAGCTTGCAGAGGTGCGCTGTCCGTTTTTTGCTCGTTGATACGCTTGACATTTTCGGTAGTGACCTGCGCGTGAGGCACTTGTTGGGGAGACCGTGGAGCTGTCGCAGAATCCACATGTGAGGCCTTCTGCAACGATTGGAGTGCCAGGGTTAGTGCGTCGGGCGTGTGCCTTCATATTGTGGACGGACGAGAAGACGCTGCTGCAGCTTGGACAGGGCGACGTTGATCCGCTACTCGTCATTCTACGAGGAGGTGCCGTGGACACGCCAGGTGGAGGTTCCAGAGGAGGTCCGGGCGGTCCTGCCTCTTCAGTGTGTGGGAGGAGCAGCACCACCGAGATAAAGGGTTGCTTGTGATCTGCAGGGCGCGTGCCGGTCTGCCGAGGAGTGGGCAGGAGGACGTCCATCAGCCGCTTGTTGGTCGGCAAGGAGTGGCGGTGCTCACGTCGGGAAGATGTTCCGGTGGAGGCAGAGCACAGACGCGGTCCCAACAGCACCGCAGCACAGCCGATCCCAGAGGGCGGGGACTTGGCGCCGCCATGCCTCGGGGTATCACAGGCCTTGGCTCGAGAGGGCACCAAGCTGTTTCGCACGGACCTCTAGCAGAGTAGAGAAGCCACGGCGGAGGGCATGATTGCGGTCCTCCCGTTTGCGGAGCACTTCAGCTCGGGGCAGGCTGCCGCTGCAACACACTCGGCCTGCTACATTCCGTCCGTCCAGATACATGTGGGACTGTCACGGCTGCCGCCGGTACGGTGCCTCGGTGCATCTCCAACCATGTGATTACAGCAGCCAGAGGTGCTCCACACGCCGAGGTGGAAGCATCACAGTCAGCTTCACGCAGGGAAATGGCGACATGTTTCCGTCGTGGCAGCATGCCTGCCTGTCGCGGGATGCCGTCCTCCGTCCCTGCAGTGTGGGATGGCAGATGGTGGTCCGAGTCCATGCAAACGGGTGGACGTCCAGTGGGAGACACGCAGTACGCGTTGCGCAGTCACATCGGGAACCGAGACGCTGCGGCCGCTGATCCACATTGCCTGTGCCGGGTCGTCGGATAGCTCAGAGTCCATGCCGCTTGGGGTGGCGGCGAGGTCCTCTCCTGCCGTCGTGGATGGTGAGCAACCGTCCCGCACCTCATGGTGCGAATTCGGGTCGCAAACAACCGCTGCGGGGCCTAAGCGACGAATGTTGCTCGCAAAGTGAGCGGCGTGAGCCATTGCCGTGGGAAGGCTGCAGAGGGTCACCACGTACATGCTGGGGCTGGCCTGTAGGCACACGCGGAAGGCGGTGGTCTCCAGGCAGTTGGTGCCACGAGCAGCAGGCGCTCGCACGGCAAGGTGTGGCGCACCAAGAAGGCCACGCCACCGGCACGACCACTGCAGGCCTGGCGGAAGTCACCGCAGCCAATGAACCTCGTCGCTGGAGCACTCTGGTGCCTGCACTCCTGCAGAAGAACCATGCCGGGATGGTGCTGCGCCAGTCGAGCAGCAAGAGCAATCCTGAGGGGCGAAGGGCCTGAAATTCTGAGCTGCCAGACAACTACGAGGCCATCCTCATAGGGGCTGCGGCTCTTGCGGACACCACCGCAGTGGGTGATGCCGACGGAGTGACCGCAATGAAACGACTGTGCGGTTCTCTCAGTCGGGTTGCAGGCAAACCGCCTCGCCGCTCCACAACCGACAGATCGTGGGACCTTCTCGAGGGGTGACGCCGTCGTGGTCCCCATCACGCTCGCTGAAATGCCCTGCCACAATCACTCCCACAGAGAGACAACAAATAGTGCGTGGATGTGTGCCGAGAACACACAGCGACTGCCATCGTCGGAGGAGGCCATCGTGGCACCGTCCGTCACTCGTCAGCACACAACGAGCAACGCCCGCAACCGGAAGTGCAAAAACAGAGGAGAGAATGACCCCAAGAGCAGGCAACATCTTCACACACGGCGGGCATCGTGCGGCCGTGTTGCCATGTCAGCACGGGACGCAAGCCCACGCCCCGCTGTCGCCAAGAGCATTCATGCAGACCACTGTGCAAATACTTATGTGTGTGTGCTGGAGAAACGGAAAAAAAGAGGAGCACAGGAAGGCACATCAGGACGGCAAGAGGCACAGCTGGATGGCAGCGATACATGCGGTATGGCCCAAACCTCAACAATCACACACGGTGGCAGCACACACCTATCCACAAAAAACAAAACAAAAGGAAAACAAAAAATCTTAAAAACACGGCGAGGCCGTGGCTGTGTGTGTGGCGCTGCGGGTGTCTGCCCGCACTGGCCGCAAGAAAACAAAACAAGAGGGAAAGAAATGTGTGCTCCGCCCCACAGGCCCTCGTCGCACGCTCACACGTCACGGCTCCCTCAGCGCGCCGTTCGTCGCGGCCCCTCCTCATGCGTGCAGCAGGCGAGGCGCACAGGGCCGTCGTCATGAGCGTGTCGGTGGGTGTGCGGGTGGAGCAGTTGGGCGGGAAACACACGGCACCCCTCACAGGAAGAGTGCAGAAGAAACAATTAAAAGAGGGAAGAGTAGAAAAGAAAAAACCGTCCATAGTGATTGCCCCCAAAAGCAAAAAAGGAGGGATGTGTGGAGTGAAAGATTTAAAATGCACAAATTAATAGCAAAAAAAAACCAGCAAAAAATTTTAAAGCAAACAGAAAAAAAAAATTAAATTTACAAAACAACAAAAAAAGCCGAAGCGTGGGACGACCAGCGCACACACTCTCATTGCTCCCGTAAAGCAAAACACACACAGGGAGAGATAGAGAGAGGTCGCCCACTCAATGGAAACAAAAAAACAGTTACGGTGCTCCGCCCATGCAGCCAGGCAGGACGGCAGCGGTGCGTGTCGTGCAAAAGAGAGCACCAACGGGCCTGCATGGGTGTGCATGCATATATACAATGGGCACATTATGTGTGTGCTTCGTGGGGTGAGGTGAGGGCGAGAGTCCATGCAAGGGGACACACACAGAGAGAGAAGGACGAGTGTGTGTGCGGGCGGTGCACGGCTCTCTCTCCCTCACTCTCACGCGGCCACCACCGCAGCAGCAGCCGCACACGCAACAAGAAGAAGAAGAAGCAAAAGAGGGGAGGTGGTGTGGGGGACCGCGGTGCTGCCGTCACTGTCGCCAGTCGTCGCCGCTGTGGTTTTCATTACGGTGGATTCGACTGGTGTTTCCTTCGGATTGGCTTCTTTATTTCCATTTTGTTTTTCTTCTTGTGTCACTGCACCATCAGCTGCTGGATCTTTGTCGCCAGTTGTTTGAGTGCTTTGGGGTTTTGTTTTATTCGATGCTTCCTCCACACGAGAAGATAAAATTGGCTCTTCCTGACCGCCTGCCGAAATCCTCTTTGTAGTTCTGGTATCATCTTTTTCTTCTTGCTTTTTCTCTTCCTCCGTCTCTTTTTTTTCCTCCTTGCCATCACCCAATTCCACTTCCTCTCCCTCTTCATCTTCCCCTTCATCTTCCCCTTCATCTTCTTCATCCGCATCCTGATTCGCCTCCCCATTTCCCCCGTTTTCCGTTTTTTTATTTTTTTCTATCGTTTCTTCTGCCGTTTCTGATGCCTTTGCTCCGGTTTTTAGCGCCGATTCCGCTTTCGTTTCCGATACAGGCACCGATGATGGTGCTGCTGGTTGTGATGCTGCCGGTTGACCGATTGGGCCACCTCCTCCAACGCCATCAGTTGTGTTGTTTTTACCTTCAGAATTATTGCCGTTGTCGGTCAAACCAGTACCCGGAAGGGCTAGATCTGCTTCAGAACATCCACCACCGCCGGCACCGCACCACAGCACACAGAGGGCACATAGCAACAGCAGGCGGCCAGTCATCATCATCATCACGGCTGCACACACAGTCTAGAGAGGGGCAAAGAGAGAAGGATGAGAAGAACACACAAACGCATCAGCAGCAGCAGCATGGAGAAGAAGGGGTGGCGTTTACATGAGGGTTGTTGTCATGAGCATGGGAGACGCGTGCACGCAGGAATAACAAGCAACAATAAAACACCGGACAGCACGGCGCACAACTCCATGGCATTTAAAGCCCTCCCGCAGCTGCCCCCAAAATGGAAAAGAAAGAGGACGCCACGGTGCGGCAGGAACACAGAGATGACGGTACAGAAAAGGATGCCAAACCGGCGTGAAAAAAACACACAAAAAAAAATTCTTCCCCCACAGCGGCCACATCCAAAAACGCAAGTAATAACAGAAACAAACACCACACACGGCAACTCACAGGGCAGTGAATACCCTGTCGCCAACCTTCATGGCTGCTCGCCCCGCACTCCTCGGGAGTCCATCGCTCCGCCGCCTTCCTCCTTCCCGCGGCACCCCCACACGAACAGCCACGGCACAAAATCGGGTCCATCCGCGTCCGTCGCCACGCCACCCTCAACGACCCAACAGGCAACCGCCCAACGAATGTCGCGGAAATCACACACCCGCGCTGAAGCACGCGACGCAACGTCATGTCACGTGAACCCCTCCGTCGGCAGCACTTCACGCCAACCGTTTGGCCGGCACACAGAACAATCAGTTGACATAACAGAGAAGTAAGGCAGGCACTCAATCAAGGACTCTCCACACACACACGGCTCTTTTGATGCCGCCGCAGCTGCCACGGGCACGGTATCCGAGCGGAAAATGACAAGCAGTAAAAAAAGCCTCGCAAAAGGAAACCAATCCACACGCCCATATGCAAAGCGCCACTCGGACTGGTGCAGCTGCAGGGTCTGTGAGAAAAAATGCGACTTACTGAATCCCGCCAACTATGTCAGTCTCCCCTCCCACCAATGCCACGCATAATGCACGGTGTGCGTCCACAGGCATCCACTCCCGGTGCCCTAGCAACACTTCAGAAACAAACGCAACAGGAGTAATACAACGAGCACCACACTATGCCACCGCAACAGCGAGCACACCACAGGACAGCAACACGCCACGCAGCGATGTTTTGCTATTTCACACAATTCATTTACCGCACAAACCAAAACAGACATAATGGGAGAAGCGAAGCATCATTGCACAATGCCAAAGCAAATAAATAAAAATAAAAAATCAAAACCACACAGACCCCTCGCACACGCACACAAACACACCACAGTATTCTCCAGAAAAAGTCGAACAAATTGTTATCCCAAAACCCATTAAAACACGCGTGGTGCCGCCACATTAGCAACCAACACAAAAGGGAAAGAATGTATACAGCATATCCCTGGTAAAAATTATACAGACAAGCAGAGCACATAAATGTATATCCTGATAGGAAATGCCAATTGATATGGGCTTTTCTCTCTTGCAACCACTGCTGAGTGCGGGCCACGCAGGACTCAACCGCAGTCGCCTCGTCGTGCAGCGGCATCCATGCAGCCACCCAATAGAGTGTTGGCACGGCGGCGGCAGCAGACAGGGACAAGCAGCAGCAGCAGTGTTATTGCCGTGGATCGAAGGCGAGGCGTACTTCATGTCTTCCTCCCAATCCCCGCGCCCCACCGCTGCGTCATCCTCCCTCGGCGGAGGGTCCACGGCACCTTGCGCGTCATCAGCGGCACCAGGGATCCTGGGTCCCGTGGCTGCGGCACCGCCACCGACCTTGTCGCTCCCGGCCTCATCTCCTGTTGGATTGTCCCACAACAGACGTCACACCATCGGGAGCCACATCGTCGCTGTCCGGAACATCGCTCTTCTTCTCCGCCTCCTGCGGCGCACCCGCGGTGTCGCTGGGCGAAATCACTCCGTTGCCGTCGTGGCATCTGAGGCGACTTCCTTCTCCTCTGGCGACGGATGCTTCTGGGGAGCAGTCGTGTCTACATCCCTTGATGGTTTTCCGCGGCCGGTCCCAATGCTCTCCGCAACGGGGACAGATGCCCCTGGCAATCCTTGTTCAGTATATGCCGGTGGAACCGTCCTGCTCCACATGCTCTCTCCTCGCCGTCCCACGGAACCATTGGAAGTAGGCTACCACTGGTGAAAGATATCGTGCACACCTGCGCGTGGTCACGGCAAATAACGGTCCCTCATCGTACGGTCGAGTGGCCCACGCAATCGTCGCCCCGTCCGTGCATGAGACACAACGGACGTTACCCTTTTCAGTCACTGCCAGATGCAAATGCATGCTGAGGCACCTCAATGCCGCATGCATGGCAGCACTGAGATGTGTCTCCTCCGGGTTCCTCGCATCCGTCGTGTTGGTGGGAAGCGTGTCCAGACACCACGAAGAGGGCTCATCCCCAGGCATCCCAGACAAATATTCTCCCCTCCAAATAATGGCGTCAGCATCCCTCATATCCAGTGCGGGGTCAGTGATGAGGCAACTGTCCATTGGGCGTTTTGCTGACATTTCATGGATACTCCCCAGACACCAACCGCTAAAATAACGATCCGACGCGCAGCGTCTGGCACAAACGCCCAATGCGCAGAGCATGTGGGAATATTCACTCATGTTCGGTGCGGAGCAATTCCTCTGCATTCGCCGGCGCACCCAATCGGTGCCATCCACTCATCCCTCGCGTGGCGCTGCGACCAGTGCGACTCCAGCGTCCTCCCGTCCCCATCGCCATCCTGCAGTTCCATGCCATCAGTGTCGCCGCAATATTGGTGCTCACTCGCTGCCATCGCGGCATTCGTCGAGTGCACCACCACCAACAACGCCCCGCCACGCACACCGGCAACATGCCTCACCATGCTGCGGCTGGCCATGTGCGGGCAGTCAAACCCGACAGCATGGACCAACAGGTGCGCGGCGATGCATCCGTGAAATGAAACTGACAGGCAAAGTGCATGGCGCCAGCGACTGGACGGCCATCCTCCAGCGTGACGCACTGCAGTGCCCACACACCACCCGGCGCCGCAGCCACTTACAGCACCATGAAAGAATTGACAACACCAGTGGAACGATGCCCAGCAGGCACCGTGAACCAACTGCAAACGCTGCTCGTGGCAAATGGAGGCACAATCAACGGACCCTCCAGTGGCTGGACGAGCAGACGATCCACATGCAGTTACACAGCAGCAGGGATAGCCTCCTCGGCAAGGATATTGCCGTGCGCAGAGGTCAAAACACCATTCTTACAGCCAAACTCCCCGTCGAACGAATTCACTTTGCAAGGCCGGTAGAGGCCGCAGTGCCCCCTGCTGTCCTCACAGTCCCTTGTTGACGCATTGGTGCGGACGGGAACCCATCGGTTCTTCCAAACAAAGCTCCAGGCCTGCAACGCATCCTGCGCTCTGAGACACGCGTCCCTCACCATAACCGGGATCGACCCCGCCGTCGGAGGAGACCACATCGTCAAAGAAGCAAGAATACTTCAGGCTGACAGCAAAGCAACCGCCGACAAATCACATCGCAGAGATCATCACAAACAGAAGAAGCAGCGCTGGAGGCCGTGGGGTTAACGTCGATCAACGGACGCATGGCGTATGTCAAAGAAAAGCTAATTGGCTTGAGAAGAATACAAGAGGCTGACACTCTCTCAACAAGAAAAAAGACAGTATCATAATACAAAAAGACAATTTTAAGCGTCAGCAGTCAAAGCATGCCAACAATCCAAAAAGTGTGGAAAAGGTGCACTCAGCTACAACACAAGTAAAACAGCAATAGACAAAAAAAAAGAAGCCGAAGCGTGGGACGACCAGCGCACAAACTCTCTCATTGCTCCCGTAAAGCAAAACACACAAACAGGGAGAGAGAGAGAGGTCGCCCACTCAATGCAATGAAAACAAAACAGAAACAGTTACGGTGCTCCGCCCATGCAGCCAGGCAGGACGGCAGCGGTGCGTGTCGTGCAAAAGAGAGCACCAACGGGCATGCATGGGCGTGCATGCATATATACAATGGGTACATTATGTGTGTGCCTCGTGGGGTGAGGTGAGGGCGAGAGTCCATGCAAGGGGACACACACACAGAGAGAGAGAGGGACAAGTGTGTGTGCGGGCGGTGCATGGCTCTCTCTCCCTCACTCTCACGCGGCCACCAACGCAGCAGCAGCCGCAACAAGAAGAAGAAGCAAAAGAGGGAAGGTGATGTGGGTGACCGCGGTTCTGCCGTCACTGTCGGCAGTCTTCGTGATATGTTTCATAGCTGCGCTTTCGACTGCTTTTTGCTTCGTATTGCCGTGCTCCTTTTCATCTTCTTTTCCTTCTCCTCTCCCTGCGTCATCGGATTCCGGCGCATTCTTCGGCGTCCCCTCATTACTGGTGGTATTGCTGACAGCTGAATCTGGTGGTGGCCCTTGCGGTGTTGGAGGCTCGTCGGGCTCATCTGGAATGGCAGCGTAATACGTACACATACCCTTAACCTCAGGGTCATGAATTTCACTCGGCGTCTTATTATAAAAAGTGTCACAAATCCCCTTCATCGCAACTTGTATGCATCTCTTCATCGCTGGCACATTTACCGTCCCATTCTTCGTATTTTCCGTCGCGCATTCTTCCTTCATCAGAACATGCCAATTCAAGATGATTCTGTCAGCAGGTGTTGTCTTACTGGAAACACCATTGGCAGAAGCTTCCGCCTCCTTGGCAAAACCGCCGCCGGCACCGCACCACAGCACGCAGAGGGCACACACCAGCAGCACACGGCCAGTCATCATCATCGCCATCACTCCTGTCACTTGCGTGCAGTCTTCAGCACAAACTAACTCCCCGTCAACGCAGAGCAAAAGCAAAGACACGGCCGTTACACCACACACAGTAACGCCACAGTCACAAATTGCAGCACACACTATGGGGCAGGTGGAACCAGTAAAAAGGCAAAAAACACACAACGCCCCGCAAATCAGAAATTTAAAATAAATAAAAACTGGGTTAATAGTCCGGCAAGACTCCCGGAAAGGATAAGGAAAATAGATTAGATCTTAATTTTATTTCATGTACCATGCAGCACAATATAGACGACCGTGTGTTTGTGTATACATCTTCCCCGCAAAAATAGCAGAAAATAATATGAGAAAAAAAGAAAAAATCCTGCTGTTCCACCAGCCCACACAACATCCCTCACACTTCATGCGGCATCCGGCGTGTTCCTTCCGTCCTCGTGCGTGCAGTCCGTGGGACGCACAGCAATGAGGCCGGCACCGCGACTGGGCAAAAAAGAAAACAAGATGGAAAACACGTCACTCATAATGATGTTTAGAGCAGTTAAACAGCCATTGGGAAAGCACAAAGATAATTATTATTCCAATAAAACACAAGCAGCAAAAGAAGAAAGGAAACAAGCAAAAAAACTTGGAACGAGGCCCTTGACAAAATTCGGTGAGCCCCAGCGATGAAGTCGCACCTTGACGCGTTGCCGGGCTCTGGTTGCATATAGGAACTCCGCTGCGCTGCGTTGCTGCGAGCACGACGGAGACCAAGACGACTCCACCCCTCGAGAAGGTTCCACGCCATGCCCGGTGTGGGGAGGTGAAGCGGTCTGCCTGCAGACTGTCGGACAAAACTGCACGGCCGTTTCGCAGCGGTCACTCCGTTGATATCACCCGTTGCGGTGACGTCCACAAGAACCCTGGCACCGAGGTGGATGGCTGCATCACTATTTGGCAGCTCAACATTGCAGGCCTCTCGTCCGTAAAAAAGATTGCGTTTGCTGTGCGATGGGAGCTGCCCCAATCTGACATCGTTCTTCTCCAGGCGGCAAATAATCGAATTGCCACAGCGGCAAAACCATATGGCCATAATGACTTTCTTCGCGCCGCACTGGGCGCGGTGGTGGCGTTGCCATTCTGGTGCGCCACTCTCTGCCGTGCGAGTGCCTGACGCTCCCTGGCACTGACCTCATGGAGACCATTGCTGTCCGTGTGTTTCCACAGGGCCGTCCCAGCATCTGCGTGGTGAATCTCTACAACCCTCCCACAGCAACCGTTCAAAGATTTTCGTTTATTACTACCATTCGTCGCTTAGGCCCCGCAGCGATTATCGCGGGTGAAATGAATTTACATCATGGACTCTGGGACAGACACCTACCCTCAACGACTGAAGGAGAGGATTTGTCCGCTACTTTAATTGACATGGATTTTGGGCTAGCAAATGACCCGGTGCAGGCAACACGGAGCACAAATCGTAATGTCTCGTCCCCTGACGTGGCTGCGTATCGCGTGCTACGTGTCACCCACTGGCAATCCACCCCCTACATGGATTCGGACCACTGCTTAATATCTTACTTGGCGGGGTTGGATGATGGCATTCCGCGAATAGCCAACACGCTGCCTCGGCGGGAGAAAGCCACTTTTGCCCTGCGCAAAGCGGATTGGCCTGCTTCCACCTCGTTGTGTAAAACCCTCCTTGCCACCGCGTCCGCATGGTTGGACGTTCGCAGTGGTATCTTACGAGCAGCTGAGCGCCATATCCCGCGCGGCAGCCGTGACAGCCCAAAACAATCTGGACGAACAAAATGGAACAAGCCGAGTCCGTCGCAGAAGCAGCACACAAAGCACACACATTGCCTCACCAGGAGACAGCCTGCTTCGAGCCGAATTCATCCAAAATGTGGAGGACCAAAATCAAGCCTTACGCCGTGGCTTCACTATGCTTCTGGAAGCCCGTGTGGAAAAACTTGGGGCTTCATCCAGCCCAAGCTGGCGTTATCTTCACGGCGTGGCGGCGCCGCACCCTCATCCACTGGAATCGGTTGTGCTCCGAACTGATCTTCGGACCGCGTCTGTGCTCCGCCTCGGCAACAGGCAAATCTGCTCGTCCTTCATTTTGTGCGAGTCTCACGTGTCACATTACCCTATACTGCTGCTGCTGCTGCTACCGCACTCCATTGCCCCCTTGTGACTGGGAAGTGGATCGACCTCTCACGCCGTATGAACTTGGCGTGGCCATCCGTGACTCTTCGCTCGGCTCAGCCCCTGGCCACGACAACATGTTGAATGAATTCCTGCACCATCTCGTGCCCGTTGCGCGTGGCACACTCTTAGAACGATGATCCACAACTCCTTCGCAAATGGCAGCCTGCCCGGCTCCTGGAATACGGTGGACACTATTCCCATTCCAAACCTGGGAAAGATCCATACCGCCCAGTGAGTTACAGACCTATCACGCTACTCTCTGTTTTACTAAAATTAACCGAAGGAATGATTCACCGCCGTCTGTCAGTGTTATTGCCGCACCATCAACGTCAATTTGGATTTACACCTTCGCGTTCAAAATCGGACGTGGTGACAATTGTTATTGGTAAAATTACCGTGGATTAAATGTGTCCAGCACTGTGGAGTATGCGCGCCCTGGAGGCGGCGCCCCACACGGCACCCTCGTCACCATCGCTCGCGTGTAGCCTTGATTGATTTTTCGACTGCGGTCGACACCACTGACCATGGGAAATTATTCGGCATGCCTGACAGACTCCCGCGCCTTGGCCACCGAACGAAACGCTGGCTGCACACCTACCTGCGGGGCCGCTATGTTAGGGTATGCACTCGCGAACAGCACTCCCGGAAACAACTCGCCTCAGCCGGAGCACAGCAAGGCAGCGTCCCGGGACCCCAACTCTTCCTCCACTGTGTGGATGATCTGCTGCGCCGCCTGGAGAACATCTATTCTGCCTCCGCACTCATGCACGCTGACGAACTCGCACTTGTTGCCTCAGGTGCGGGCATCCATGCATGTGCTGCGGCAATGCAACCCGCCCTGTCACTTACAACGACATAGGCTGCCAAGCACAGCCTAAAAATCAACGTTGATAAGAGCGGAGCTGCTCTATTCCACATCTCTTCGCACACACGGTCTGAAGAGGAAATGGTCAATCTCCTTCCTGGCAATGGGAACCTACGTATTCAGTCCCGCCCAGTGCGCTTGCTGGACACCACGGTTGAACAACTCCTTAATTGTGTTCCGCACGCTTCCACCGCTGCAAAGCGGACCATGCCACGCCGTTACCAATTACGGCCGGTCGCACAGACTGCTGCGTCCCATCACACCATGCAATCCTTTTCGATTGGATACGTCCATGGTGTGTCACTATATAGTGGCAAGGCAATTCTCCCGTGCCTCGCCCACACCTACTTCCATAATACGGAAGTACTGTACCGCGACAGTTGTACAACACACCTTGGCATTAGTGCACCAACGGAGGATAAATCGGTACACTTGGAAGCCAATCTTCTTCGGCTCCGTAAGATACTCTGGCTCCGTGCAATCACACAACACAAACGCCAAGCACGTTTCCATAATCACGAGGATTTGCGCTCCCTTATGTACTCGGAACCTATGCCGCTGTCCATGCATAGGAAAGCGGCGACATCAATCCATTTTCAAAAGATGCCGTTATTAATGGATTAGAACGCGTATGTGGTACTATTGGGATACCACACAACCACAATCACGCTCCTCCTATTACCCAACATCGAATTATTCCCTGGGACACTGTGAGTTGCAATAAAGTGGAATTTAATCAGCCACGCTTTGCCAACGACGCCTCTGAAGATGTCAAGCGCACGGCTTTTGATTCCCTTTACTCCTCTCTAGGACATTATGATTTTGAATTATGGTCGGACGGTTCTTCATCCCTCGCCGAACTCGCATCTGGATCCGCTGCACTATTATACGGCCCCACAAAGACAAATGATCTCCCTGTGGAGGTCCATCGTGCAGCTGCTGGCAGGCTCGCATGCTCATAGAGAGCAGAGTGACCTGCCACAGAAAAGAGCTCTAGAAATCTCATAATTCCTCGTCTGGAAACATCCCAATCGCCCACACAAATCCTGGTGGCAACGGACTCCCTTTCGGCAATTGAGGCACTCCGCGTTGCCCCACTGGCCGTGCGTGACTGCGTTGCTGAAGAAATTTGAATTATGCTGCTCTCCTTGATAAAGCGAGGTCACTCTGCAGACTTTATATTTTCCCCATCGCACTGTGGTATCCCACGCAATAAGACCGCTGACGAAGAAGCCACGATTGCACAATCCCACCAGCAATGAGGCATCCCAATCTGGCACGTGGAATTCCTTACCGCCGTCAAGAGGTTGTACTGGAAGGAAGTCCAGGAGGAAAAAGAAGTCGTGCACACCGCACGCCAGGCGCTCGTCGGCGTAAAAAAAGACCATTCCTGGTGTGCAGGCAGACATCGGGCATCGAATCAGGACTTCGTGCGCAGGTGCGATGCGACTCCTGCCCACTCTTCGGCAGACCGGCACGCGCCCTGCAGATCACAAGCAACCCTTTATCTCGGTGGTGCTGCTCCTCCCACACTGAAGAGGCAGGACCACCCCGACCTCCTCCGGAACCTCCACCTGGCGTGTCCACGGCACCTCCTCGTAGAACGACGAGCAGCGGATCAACGTCGCCCTGTCCAAGCTGCAGCAGCGTCTTCTCGTCCGTCCACAATATGAAGGCACACGCCCGACGCACTAACCCTGGCACTCCAATCGTTGCAGAAGGCCTCACATGTGGATTCTGCGACAGCTCCACGGTCTCCCCAACAAGTGCCTCACGCGCAGGTCACTACCAAAAATGTCAAGCGTATCAACGAGTAAAAAACGGACAACGCACCTCTGCAAGCTACAATGACAGCCGTAGCCCTTCAGCCACTCCTCTGCTGCAACCCCACCAGCCGCTGAGCCCCCGACAATCCACGGGAGGCCCTGCCGCACATGCTGTGGGAATGCCGCCGTCCTCGACAACTGAGCATCCGACTATTTGGGAACACACCCTCTCGCACGACAGCATCGTTCAGAAAGAAGGAAAAACTGGCCACATCGCTACGGACAGCCCGCAGGCCATTAAAGAACAGTGGCTGCAAAGTATAACGAAACAAACATTTCCCTTTTCACAGCATAGAAAAACGTCACCTTCACACTCGCAATTGCCACCAATGAATCCATTGCTTAATACCGCTCTGAGCTGCAATAATTCCTGGTACCATCCATGTCCCTTGTCGACACATTGATGCGGGTGGGCGCCCATCCATTCCTCCCAATGACGGTGCATGTCTGCGACGCACCCTCAGATCCAAAAGGCACGTCCCTCACCACAGCCGGGATCGACTTCGCCCTGTCGTCACGCATCCCTTTGTCAGAGGAGCAGGAGTACGTCAGGCTGGCAGTAAAGCACCCGCCAGCACAACACATCATAATCATCATCACAACCAGAAGCACCAGCAGCACTGCAGATCGTGGAGTGACGTGGATCAACTTACACATGCTGTACGTAAAAGAAAACATTTCATGGCTTGACACGGATAAGAAACACTGACAGTCGCTCAAAAGAAAGAAAAAATACAATACAAAAAGAGAATTTAGGCGTACGTAGTCAACTCAGACCACCAATTCAAAAAAAAAGTAATGGGTGCACTCAACCACAAAACAATGAAAAACAATAAAAAGCCGAAGCGTGGGACGACCAGCGCACACACTCTCATTGCTCCCGTAAAGCAAAACACACACACAGGGAGAGAGAGAGAGAGGTCGCCCACTCAATGCAATGAAAACAAAAAAACAGTTACGGTGCTCCGCCCATGCAGCCAGGCAGGACGGCAGCGGTGCGTGTGGTGAAAAGGAGAGCACCAACGGGCATGCATGGGTGTGCATGCATATATACAATGGGCACATTATGTGTGTGCCTCGTGGGGTGAGGTGAGGGCGAGAGTACATGCAAGGGGACACACACAGAGAGTGAGTGAAAGACAAGTGTGTGTGCGGGCGGTGCACGGCTCTCTCTCCCTCACTCTCACGCGGCCACCACCACCGCAGCAGCAGCCGCACACGCAACAACAAGAAAAAGCAAAGGAGGGGAGGTGGTGTGGGAGACCGCGGTGCTGCTGTCATTTTCGGCAGGCATCGTCGTATCATTTGTTTGAGCGGTGCCTGTTGATTGGGGTGCCGCATCACTCATTTTGACGGTGTTGCTCTCACCAACGTCAGATGTCGTCGTGGAACTTGTTTGAGTGGTAATGGCCGGTGCGGCTGTGGAAGTTTCCTGAGGTTGTTCCAAGGAACGAGTGACATTTTCACGTTCCTGCCCCTCTTCTGACGGTGCTGCAACAATAATTTCAGTACTGCTCGGAGTACCTTCTGTGCGTTCCTCACTATTACTGCTGACGACATCGTCGTTACCTGAAGGAGATGGGTGATCAATATTCTGTTGATTTTCAATTGATACATCCTTATTTTCCTCCTGATTGAGTGAAGTCTCCGGTTCCCCTGGTGGACCTTCGGGTGTTTCGTCTTGCCGTTCTTCGCCCGATGATTGTGAATGTGACAGTGAATCCGTATGTTCGGAGCTGGATGGTGATGGTGCCTGTATTGTTGGCGATTGAGGCTTTAAATCAGCTTGCAATTGCGGGGACCCGGGTGCGGAACCCTCAACTTTCCTCAGCCGTGTTTGCTCTGCGGAAGGGTTTCCCGCTCCACCAGACGCCGTATGACCGCTGGCGCCTTCAGAGACTTCATCACTCCCACGATTACTGAGTCCACTTTCAGAGCCTGCCGTGTCCTCAGTGCATCCGCCTCCGCCGGCGCCGCACCACAGCACGCAGAGGGCACACACCAGCAGCAAACGGCCAGTCATCATCATCGCCTTCACTCCTGTCACTTGCGTGTAGCCTTCAGCACAAACTAACATCCCGTCAACGCAGAGCAAAAAGCAATGAGAGAAACAAGTCACACAGCCACGCCACAGCAACCGCACAGTGACAAATGGCAGCAGCAACACACCATGAGGCAGTTGGAATCAGTGGGAGGACAAAAAAGGCAAATGCACAGTCCTTCAGTAATTAATCAGCAAGAAAAGAAGAAAAACAAAACAATTAAAAACACAAGTAAAAAAGAAACAAAAAACTTTAAAAAAAGGAGCTGCACAGTATGGCGCCATTGTGCATGCATCCACATGCAAACATGCGTCCACGCAAACAGTTGTATGCGTGTAGTGCATATAAGTGTGTCTGGGATGCGTTCAACGTGACGGATACATGGAGCAGCAACACGGAGCACACAGCATGGCAGCGGAAGCAAATGAAGCAAAACACAATCATTATTTTCCCCTATTTAGTTACATCGGACCACAGTAGACGCACACAAATCCCGTGTTTGAGTGCTGGCACGCACAGCCCGCATACACCTCTTCAGCCCAGAGTGGTGTACGACAGCGCGGATACGGCGAGCAGCAGCGGGGCACACACCCACGCAGAGCTGCTGAGGCTGCCGTCCATTTCGCGAAAACGTGACGGTGCGCGGGTGGTCGTCGTGATTGGCACCTCTGTAGTCGTAGTACTTGGTGCCTCTGGTGCCTTGGTGGTGGTCGTAGTAGTTGGTGCCTTTGTTGTCGTCGTCGTCGTGGTCCTCTTGGCAGAAGCTTCAGCTTCCTGATCTGTTTGGTCCGTGGATATATCCATGTGAATTTGTGTCCCTGTATCGACTTTCTTATCGTCTTTCGGTAAAGTGTTGCCCGCATCATTTGATTGCGGACGCGGAACGGTCGAACTCTGTCCCTTTCCGGCATCTGTTCTCTGTTCTGAAAGGGAACCGGAACCTGGCGAGCCTGACGGAGCGGACGGCTGTAGCCCTAACTCTGAAGAAGTGGATGAATGACTGGTGACACGTACATCATTTTCAATCGTATTCTCATTATTATCCCGCGGTGACTCTGTTTTGGTCGTCGTGGTGTTTTGGGAAGGAGCTTGAACGTTCGGAGAATCTGAAACGCACACGGAAGGGCAGCAGCACAGGGCGAGCACCAACAGGGCGCACAGCAGACGGCACGTCATCATCGTGAGTGTGGTCGTTCAGTGGTGTGGAGCTGACCTGCACAGTGAGGGACATGGAGAGCAACAGGGGAGACGAGAGGTGCGGCAGACACACACACAGAGGGCACACCACATGAGGAGAGAGCAGCAGCCAGGCATGCACCGTACGCCGCACACCACGCACGACACACACTCCAATCCACGGCAACAGGCACACGCACACACACAAACCTGCACTCTGTAATACTTTTGTTGTACAATTGTTGTGGTCAGTGCATGCGGTCACACACAAAAGGAGTGAGAAAAGAGGAGACCAGTACGGCTAGACATCAGACTGTAGGCTACCAGAAGGACGAAAAAAGGCAAGAGGGCCGCGCCGCGTCGGCAATCGGTGCGTCACTTGCCTGCAGATTAGGCGTCGTGCGCGATTGGTGTCGCTCATCGTGACACATTCGCCCTCGTAGCCCCAGAGAGTGGAGCATCCAACGCCAACCCAAACACAGCTGTCAACACGCCATTGCCACAATCGTGAAGAGCCTGCTGGCACCACACACGGCAAGAAGGACACGCCAAGACACGCCATGCACCAAAGGGACGCATCAAGCCCGCAAACAGTGCGCACCGCTGCAACACCGCAGGGTCCTCCCGCACGCAACATCCTCCTCCTTCCTTATGTTCGGCTCATTGCCGCCACATCCGACACCTCCACCTCACAATACCAGAGGGAAACACAAAACAGCTGAAGCAGCAACAACAACAACATTGCCACCTTGTTGCGCTGACGCCACTGCACGAAAGGATGCGCCGAAGATGGGAGTCCATCGCGCAGGAGACGGAAAAGAGCCCAACGAGACACCCAGGAGCCACACGTTGGCAGTCTTGTCGGGGCTGCCCCAATGCAACCACAACAATTAGTGCCGCAACCACGGAGCCATGCACCCTGACCCACAGCGTGTTTTCACAATCAGAACAGCAGGGACAGAAGGAAGTAAGACACGCCACCCAGAGTGCAGCAGAGCACCCGAAACACACACGGCCAATCAAAAACGGATGCAAAAAGCCGCGAAGGCAGAAAAATAAAAAGGGCGCATGCAGATTGAAAGCCGAAGCACAAAAATTATTTGAGGTCCACATTCTCGCAATGACGCACAAAAAAAAAAAAAGCAAATCCACAAAACAAACAAAAGTGTAAAAGATAAAGCCGCATGCACCAATTACGGAGGCAGAGGCAGTCGTCCCTGTCCTTCAGAGAAACAGCTACTGGCACGACCCCGCATCCATTGGAGCACATTTCCTTTACTTTTTTACTCATGATTAGAGTACGGTGATTTCCCCTCGTCCCAATCGCATCAAAAAACGAGTGTATACATGTGGTGCTGGGAACTGTCTTTTCTCTCCATGTTACTTCGTTCACACACAGTTTTCACGGAAGTTAGACCCTCCAAGCAATAAAAAACAAAAACACCTTTTCCCAGAATAACAAACAATGCAATAAAAGACCGGTCATTTTGCCCATCCCCCGCAAGCAAAGGAGGACATGGGGAATGCGGTGAGTGTATCATAGTGTTATTGCTACGGTTTTGCACATCTTGAGTGCGGGGCCAATTTGCCAAGTAAATACTGTCGCCCTGCCTCAGTTTGATTGCGCCCAGCCGCCGCGGCTGCTCAAAGAGGCACCACCGCCACCGCCGCAGCGACCACAACAAGAAGCACAAAGGGAATGAGGCCAGCAGTAGCAGCAGCCACACTGCCATCACTGTCGGCCTGCTGTACCAACGCATCGGGTATCGCCTGAAAATCGACGCTGTTGACGGACGGAATCGGAGTGGCAGGCGCGGAGGCACTGGGAATCACCGCTGGGCAATCCGCCCGCGGGTCGCCCTCCGCTCGTGCAACGTCCTCGCCGGGTGATGGCGCAAAAAAAGCGTCGTGGCCGGAGGCTCTGTTGGCTCCCTCGCTTCCACTGCCAGGTCTCCTCCCTCGCCGCTGAGTGTTGTCCTCACTTTCGGTCCGCACCCCCGGATCACCCCTCGGACCGGCATGAAGGCCACCACCAGCGACACCCGCAGCCGAAGCACCGGGAGGCTCCTTTTCAATGGAGGCACCAGACGCCACAGGAGACAACTGTGGACGAGTATCCTCCGAAGAAGGCGACCCTGAAGCAACCGCCGACTCTTCTGCTTCCTCCTCTTGCTCGTCACCCTGTCCACCCACCAACGCACTCGGAATGACAAGACTGCTGCCGTTCGCGGCAATGGTGCACACCTCGCCGTACGTGGGGCACTTGACCCTCCCATCCTTCTGAAAATATTTCAACGTCACTGGGATGTCAGTGTCCTCAGGGCAAGGCTGAAACCCACTGCTGCCGAGGTGCCTCACCTTCACTGTGCCCTCCTCACACGACACCTGCGCGCACACTCCCTTGACGCTTTTATGTCCATCACCGTCCTTCGTCTCCAGTAATTCCGCGTCCAGGCACCACGAGCCACCGCCAGTCAGCGACCCACGGAGATAATCCACATTTTCGTCCGAGCACGTCCTGTAAGTTGTCCCAGACGATATTTCGTGAAATTCGGAAGATACGACAGGGCAAACGTCCTTATCCACCAGACTCTCCTTGTCCTCAACAATACTTGCGGTGCACGTCCCAACGTGACGGCGGTCGGAGGTGCAGCGAAGCGTCTCTGTGTCGGTAGCATCGCAAAACATGTGAGGATACTTGGCGGCAAGATTATCGGTTGTATTGCACTTCTTCTCTAGGAAGTCGCAGCCACTGCGGCTGCCCAGCTCATCGGCTCCGCCATGCTCCAATTCACGCGGTAGTATCCCATATCCGCAAAAACTACCATTACCAGAGCCGTGTAGTAGCCGGCACCAACTGTGGGAGCCATCAGCTCGTCCCGCGCGTGGCGTCCCTTCCAGTGAGGGATTTCTTTTTCTCGAGGGCCATCTTCATCCTCCAGCACCATGCCCTCGAGAGTCACAACCAAAGTGCGCTTTCGTCTTCTCCTGAACGTGCTTCCCTGCCACCATCCTGCGGTGCTTCCCACGCACACTTCTCTCTGGCTTCTTCACCAGACTCTTTTCTCTCATGCTCTCCTGGCTAAACCCAAGTGCATGCGCAATTTCGTGTGCGGCAACGCGAACGCTCCACGCCGTGTCAGTCATGTACTTTGGATCAAAGTTCATGGCGCCAATAAAAGCTCAAAAATCTGTCAGTGTGTTACACGTGGCCGCCCACACAGCCCTGCTATTCGTGCCAGATGTCCTAGCAGCAGCGTAGATGATAAAATCTGCATTCGGCACACCGTCACTCTTGTGCCTGGTAGGAACCGCAAAATGACTGCACGGTCCATTCATAGCCCTCGGTACAGTTATCGTCCCACCAGTGGGTTTCACAAGGACTCGCTCAGCGTGCAGTTTGACGGCACCGGGAAGAATCCTTCAAGTGTACAATTGTGTTTTTGCCTCCGTCAGGAAATGCTCTGCTTTGCATGACACCCTTTGCCCCAAGGCGTTGTAGCACTCATCCTCTCCCTCTTCGCAGTACTTCTTCCTCTTGTTCGTGCCTCTCTCCAGATCCTCTGTGGACACCGCAATGCGGATCGGCTCCCAGCCACTGTCGTCATCCTGTGTGGCGACGGTGTACGTCTGCATGGCGCCTTGTCCCTTGCGCGGCACCTCACGCACCACCGCAGTCGACAGCGGGCCGTTCCCCCTCATCATCACGTCAAACCCAAAGCGTTATTGTGTGGCTGGTGCAAGGGCAACACCACCAGTGAGAAAAGCGGCGTGGCGTGGCGTGGCTGGCGCATGACTTGAGTAAATGCATTTCTTGGTTTCTTGTGAGTAGCAGCAGCAGTGCAGCCTGGATGCGGGAGGAGAGAAACAAAGGAAAAAGAAGAGTAAGAAAAACAAAATGGCTTTAGGCCAGTAATGCGTCAGAATGTGGCCCACGCAGCGGAGTAACACGAAACCACAGAGGCGGCCATACACACAGCATGCGCACCGACTCCATCAAATGGACAATCCGTCAATCCGCCGTCGAGAGAACGTCCATCACCGTCGCACAGAGTCCTCACCAGCCGCACCGCTCCCTCCACGCGAGGTGTTTGGTCTGCTCACCTCATGGTGTCGCAATATTTGTGTGACCATCCACTCAACATCCGCCAAAGGCACAGCACCAGTCACAGGTGCAGGAGCATCGCACAGCGCGCTCTCCCAGCAGATCATACCCTGTTGCATAACCGCACGGCAACCCCAATTGTGATGCGCAACCCTGAGGCGGAGATGCAAAGAGTCATGCGGACGGACCTTCTTTCACTGATCTCCTTTCGGAGAACTCGACAACAAGCGTGCCGGCGGTGCGATCATTATGACCGTTCCATCCGCACTGCCACTGGCCGAGGAAGTTACCTTGAGCTCACTGCGTAGAGGTCACCGTGTCCGCCGCTGCTCTCCCGCCGCCCCACGACCACGCCGGCACTTCCAACAGAGCGGATCGGAGCGTCGACAACGGCAGCCACAGGCGCCAACACACCGAGTCCAATGGTGCCCGCTGCGACATTCCAAAGCGCGCCGAGAGCTCCTCTAGCAGTGCAGGGGCAGCCCACGTGTGTGCGACATGGCGTGTGTGTGCATTTGCTTGTGATTGTGTGTTTGTCAGCGCCTATAATTGCAGAGCAGCTGTGCGGCAAAAGAGAGTCCAAATAAAGCAACGGCAGAGAGAAACGGATAGCACACACGCAAATTACTCATATCATCACACACACACAGCCCGCGCAATGAGTGCACTCAACCACAACACAAATAAAGCAACAAAAAAAAAACAAGAAACAAAACCGAAGCGTGGGACGACCAGCGCACACACTCTCATTGCTCCCGTAAAGCAAAACACACACACACACAGGGAGAGAGAGAGAGAGGTCGCCCACTCAATGCAATGGAAAAAAACAAAAACAGTTACGGTGCTCCGCCCATGCAGCCAGGCAGGACGGCAGCGGTGCGTGTCGTGCAAAAGAGAGCACCAACGGGCATGCATGGGTGTGCATGCATATATACAATGGGCACATTATGTGTGTGCCTCGTGGGGTGAGGTGAGGGCGAGAGTACATGCAAGGGGACACACACACAGAGTGAGAGAAGGACGAGTGTGTGTGCGGGCGGTGCACGGCTCTCTCTCCCTCACTCTCACGCGGCCACCACCGCAGCAGCAGCCGCACACGCAACAAGAAGAAGAATCAAAAGAGGGGAGGTGGTGTTGGAGGCCGCGGTGCTGCCGTCACTGTCGCCAGGCATCACTGTATTATGTGTTGCAGCAGCTGCTTCAGCTGGAATTTTTTTCGTATTTTCATATATTTTTTCATCGCTTTCCTCTATTTCTTTCCTTTCGGCATTTGATTCCGTCGCAGGTTTTTGAGTTCCCTCTGTATTGATCCTGTCTGCCTCATTTTTGACAGTATCGGTGGCAGTTGAGGGTAATGTTGGGGTTGATTTGTCATGACCGTCGGGTGTTACACTCTCTTGGTTGTCTTTAGTGGAGGCGCTGTCATCCTCTTCCGAATCACTGTTTGACTCTGTGGTCCCTGGCTCATCTTCTGGGTGTAAAACCGGCACGTTTTCTTCACGGTTGTGTTGTGCTTCCACTGGCGGTGTTGGTGGTCCTCCTGTTGTTTTTGCTGCTTCATCTTCTGTTGCTGGTCCTCCCGATAGTGGCTTCGGTGTCTCTCCCGGTGTTTTTCCCAATTCTTCCAGTTCGCTTCTTGGTGCTTTTAGAGTTTTTGCTTCCGCCGGTGTTATTAAATGAGAAGATTGGCCGGCCTCATCTCGGCTGCCAACGTACTCCTCACAAATACGCTCACCTTCAGAGTCGTCAGGTTCCCCTGAATTCTTGCGACAAAAAACGTTACAAACCACCCTCATCGCATCGCGTATGCAGTCTTTCACGGCTGACTCATTCACCGTCCCATCCTCATTAATGTACTTTTTGTCCGTCGCACATTCGTTCTTTAGCAACTTTTCCCAATTAACAACCAAATACCCATGCGGAACATTTTTACGACCGGTAACGTCAGGGATAGAGGATACCACCGCCGCACCACAGCACCACAGCACGCAGAGGGCACACACCAGCAGCACACGGCCAGTCATCATCGCCATCACTCCTGCCACTTGCGTGCAGCCTTCAGCACAAACTAACTCCCCGTCAACGCAGAGTGAAAGCAAAAAAAGAGAGACAAGTCACACAACCATGCAAAGCCACCGCACAGCAACAAATGGCGGCCCACCAGCAGCAAAAAACACACCATGAGGCAGTTGAAATCAGTAAAAGGACAAAAAACGCAAACACACACCGCCCTAAAGCAATCAATCAGCAAAAAAAACAAACAATTAAAAACACGAGTAGAGAAGGAACAAAAAAGTAAAAAAAAAGCAACTGCAGAGTTTGGCTCCAGCGTGCCTGCACTCACACACGGAAATGCGTCCACGCAAACAGTTGTATGCATGTAGTGCATAAGGGTGTGTCTGGGATGCGTTCAACGTGACGGATACAGGGAGCAGCAACGCGGAGCACACAGCAGGGCAGCAGAAGCAAATGAAGCAAAACACACAATCATTATTTTCTCTTATTTATTTACATCGGACCACAGTAGACGCACACAAATCCCCGCGGTTGAGTGCTGGCACGCACAGCCCGCATACACCTCTTCAGCCCAGAGTGGTGTACGCCAGCGCGGATACGGCGAGCAGCAGCGGGGCACACACCCACGCAGAGCTGCTGAGGCTGCCGTCGATTTTGCGAAGACGTGACGGTGCGCGGGTGGTCGTCGTGGTTGGCGCCTCTGTAGTCGTAGTACTTGGTGCCTTTGTTGTAGTGGTCGTCGTGGTTGATGCCATTGTTGTAGTCGTCGTGGTTGTCGTAGTAGTGGTAGTAGCCGCCGTGGTCTTCTGGGCGGAATCGTCGGCATTCGTATTTGTTTGGTCTGTGGATGGATTATTGCCACTTTTTGACTCTGTCGTATCGCTGTCACCATTTTCCTGTGCCGTATCGGCCACCGGACCTGGACTCCCTGAAATACCGGACCTACCTGACCCCTCTTTTGTAATAGACACCGTACTTGTTGGACCTGGACTTCCTGCCGGAGCGGCCACCTTACTTGGATGCTGTGGCAGAGCTTGTCCCCCACCTGGAGCCCCTCGCGTATTGGACCCTTCAATTTTTCCCGGTGACTCAGCGGCCGGATCCGTTACCTGCTTTGGTTCCTCCGTCCCCTTACCTGGTCCCTCTTCCTCGTCAACCTTTGAAACAGATTTGCCAGCTGGATCTTCACTCGTTGTCCCGCACACGGACGGGGAGCAGCACAGGGCGAGCACCAACAGGGCGCACAGCAGACGGCACGTCATCATCGTGAGTGTGGTCGTTCAGTGGTGTGGAGCTGATCTGCACAGTGAGGGACATGGAGAGCAACAGGGGAGACGAGAGGTGCGGCAGACACACACAGAGGGCACACCACATGAGGAGAGGGCAGCAGCCAGGCATGCACCGTACGCCGCACACCACGCACGACACACACTCCAATCCACGGCAACAGGCACACACACACACAGCCCTGCCGCAGCACCAACACACAGATGGAAGAGGGAGAAGCAAACAGGAGCGGCACACAAGGCTCCACCGCATGCACATACGGCGAGAGCGGTCCGTCGTGTCGGCACCCCTCACGGAGGGTACGCACACACACAAGAGGAGGTGCAGCGCACACAGCAACAAAAAAGCAAAGTAACAATAAGAAAAGGAAAGAGATCCCCGCACACCACGTGGATTGTTGGTCCACGGGAAGTGCAGCCAATATTCATCACAAAAACAATTCAGTTGCCTTTGGTCTTCGTTCATATTCAGCGCACACCACTTCATGCAGGCCTGGGCACCGCAGCAGCAGCAGCAGCATAACCAAAAATAAGCGCAAGGAATGGCATAAAGCAAGCAACCATTCATTTGTGTTTCTGTTTGGATGTTGACAGATGTCTGCATGTGCTTTTTGTTCTGTTTTTGCAGAGGGCAAAACTTCATGCCTGGATCGTGTGTTGTGATTTCTGCAGGGTGCACAATTTGTTTTTATTTCCTCTTGTGAATGTTTCTTGTGTTGGTGCAGCCAATAATTCGGTTTGTGTTGTTCCTGCCTTTCGCTGGTAAAGTGTTGCAATAGATGTTTGTTTTTCCTTTCGTTGCTGTGGCACCTGATTCCTCGCCGTTTATTGCGGTGGAAATGAAAATATGTGAGTGGAGTCCCACACACCAGAACGCACCTTCGCTCCTATTTATTGGTGCATGGAAGGGCATGTGTGCTTGGTGGTGTCTCGTCCATATATTTTGTGGGTGTACATTCCCCTGCAGGCTGAGGGCGGGGTGACGCTCCGTCGCGGTGCACTTCCCTCGCATGCCGCCCACTGTGATTCATCATGCATCACCCCCTCACATACTCCGTGGTGCCACACCGCTGATATTATTGCAGCCGCTGTGATTGCGCGTACTTCACGCATTTGATTGTGCCACAACACATCCGCTCGTGTGGCCGCCGCATCCAAACAGCGGTGCCCAACACCGTGAGCGGCAGTCCACATCCCTGCATGTCCCAACGCAGTGGTGTTTGACTGTCAGCCAGGCGTCAGACAACAAGAGAGTCTTGTGCTGGCAGTACAACACACGGAGCTGCAGTGAATGACTCGGGCGGCGACGCATCTATTTGTCGCAAAGCAGTGAAAAGGAGTCGGGCAAAATAATGCCGGCTGCATTCACGACACCATATCCACAGCCAAAGCATGCAAACGTGATGTGTGTTTCACTGGTGCTGTGAAATGCCTGCAGACGACGTCACTAGTGGAGGCATGCCACCCATGATCAGCGGACAGACAATAATCGGCATGGGAGGCCACAAAAGGCAGCAACGACGCCAGCAGCAGGAGCAGCTCTCTCTCTCTCTCTGTGTTGCCTCCGAGAAGTAAATATTCCACCAGCCACAGCTGACTGTGCCATCGTGACACTCCATGCACGTCGTGGCTGCGTCAACACATCCTGCTCCCTGCTGCGCCTCAAAAGATGCCTCACTCCGTCCACTAAGTGCATCGGTGTGGGCCGTGCCTGGGCTGTTCGTGAGGACCACAACGATGTGAGGGTCACCGAGTCGCAGCATGTTTGTTGTGACGTTGTTGCATGGCACCTGCACACACACACACACGCAGCGCCTGCATCCCTCCCTTTTGTGTCTGCCCTCCGCCGGAGTGGCCACACACACGGGCAGCAGCAAAATCACTTCACCCTCGACGATCCAAAATCAGCACCGACATCCCTCGCGACGCAAAGATCTCAGTTGCCAGCACGGGCTTCCTGCCGCTCTGCTATCGACGCTAAAACACGGCACAGTGCACGCAATTATTTTCCTCGTGTGCAGTCAGCCGTTTGCTTCACACATTCTTCGATGGGCTGACGTCCACAAAAGCACGCCACAAAAGGCCACGGTGATCGCACACGCTCTTGCGATGAGCGTCGGTGTGTGCATGGATCCGCTGCTCACGTGCTGACACGACCGCCTGCAGCCGGTGCCCTCGTGCCAGTTCATCGGCTCCAGCACGGAAAAGAGAAAACGGCCTATTCCCGATGCACTTATTCCCACCAGCAGCACCAACACGCTGGTCGCCAGTCGTCATTCCTCAGCACATCCAGGAATGCTGAAAAGTGACGTGGAGCTGTCAGCCAGCAATGCCACAATCCCCGCACACATGTCGGCTCCACCAGAGAAGACACACAAATCATAAACAACACCCTCCACATGTCATCCGAACATCATTCCAACACACCGCGACACGCCAAACAGAAGTATTCGTCACCCAATGCACCTCCCCACACAATCACATAGTCCATGCACCACGCACGGCAGCAACCCACACGCGGTCAAACAAATGTTCTTCGGATCAGTGTTATCCACGTGCTGCGGTGGGAAGTAAACAAAAGAGACGGGCCGCCAAACCCCAAAAGAGTGCCACGACTGGCCGCAAGTCAACGGAACGCAGCCACTCAAATGAATTCAGTCCTCATGCCCTCAACCTCCCACCTTCCCCACAAAAGCTGCAAAAGATTGAAGACAAACGCACCGTCCAATAAATTCTTTGTGCAACACCAAAAGAAGCCGCAGTGCCTTATGCTGTCCTCACAGTCCGTTGATGACGCCTGGATGCGGATGGTCACCCATCGGTTCTTACAAACGACGCCGCACACCCGCGACGCATCCTGCGCTCTGAGACACGCGTCCCTCACCATCACCAGAGACGCCCACGCACCGTCTGTACGCAACAAATCGTCAAGGAACGAAGGACACGTCAGGCTGACAGCAAGACACCTGCCGACAAATCACATCGCAGGCATCATCAATAGCAGCACCAGCAGCGATGCAGACAGCAGAGTAAAGCGGATCAACTGACGCACGGCGTATGTCAAAAAAACTTGGTAGCGTGAGAAGGATAAAAGAGACTGGCACTCTCTTAACAAGAAAGGAAAAAGATAAGAATACAAAAAAGAGAAATTAGGCGTACGCAGTCAAAGCAATCCACCAATAATTAAAAAAAAACTGGAATGGGTGCACTCAGTCACAACACAAGTAAAAAAAATAAAATAGACAAAAAAAAAGAAGCCGAAGCGTGGGACGACGAGCGCACACATTCTCATTGCTCCCGTAAAGCAAAACACACACACACAGGGAGAGAGAGAGAGGTCGCCCACTCAAGGCAATGGAAACAAAAACAGTTACGGTGCTCCGCCCATGCAGCCAGGCAGGACGGCAGCGGTGCGTGTCGTGCAAAAGAGAGCACCAACGGGCCTGCATGGGTGTGCATTCATATATACAATGGGCACATTATGTGTGTGCCTCGTGGGATGAGGTGAGGGCGAGAGTCCATGCAAGGGGACACACACAGAGAGAGAAGGACGAGTGTGTGTGCGGGCGGTGCATGGCTCTCTCTCCCTCACTCTCACGCGGCCACCACCGCAGCAGCAGCAGCCGCAACAACAAGAAGAAGCAAAAGAGGGAAGGTGGTGTGGGAGACCGCGGTGCTGCCGTCACTGTCGCCAGGCGCCGCCGTATCAGTTGTGTTGGCGGTGGTGGGTTTTATTGCTGTTTGAGGTGCTGCCTCACTAGCTGTGGGAGCTGGGTGGGTATCACTACCCTCAAGATCTTCGTGTGGTTCTTTGGGGTTAGGCCGTTGAGCATTGGCAGTATTCTCATCCGCCGTACTCCGGGCTTCACCACTGCCACTTGTAGAGTTGGGTGATGCTGTTGTTTCTGCTTGATTGGTGGCAGGTGCATTCTCCGTCAAATTCTCTGTGGCTGTGGCTTGACCTTGTTGCTCTGCCACAATATCCTCTGAAGTATGTTCCGGTGCATTGTACTCCGTTTTTTTTGGTAACAGTAACTTTTTATGCTCTTGAGCATTTGGTGTCTGTGAGTCTGTTGTTGCTGTTGGTGGTTGCCCTTCTCTTGACGATGGTTCTGTTGCTGATGGCGGTACTTGTGTCTTTGGCGTTTCTTGTGGCGTTGTGTGCCATTTTGTTTCGCTGTCGGGGAATGACACGCTTGAACGGTCTTGCGTCGCCAAGGCTCTCTGCTGTGCCTCGTATTCAGTTGTACCTCTACCAACAACTTGGTTGGATGCCGTATCTTCCCCAGTGACGGAATGGTTTTCTGCATCGTTTATTGACTCCTTCGGTGCCTTCACCTGGGACGGGACGGGACCTCCAGTTATTGTGTTTTCTGCATGCTTGCCCGTTTCCAAAGATCTATTCTTCTGATTGGTAGACGCATCGCCGGCGTGCTGTAGAGCAACCCCAGAAGAAGGAGCCTTCAAGATGGAACCTTCAATTCTATCAGTCCTGCCTCCACCATGACTGTCAACAGATGGTGCTTGTGGTGATGCGTGTTGGTTTCCTTCCTCTGCTGGAGCTGCTGGCGTTGATGGTGATGGGGTTTCCTTCTGTTTTGTTAAAACTCCGCTTGTCTGACTTCCATCCCGCTCATTTGCATCTTGTCCATCTTCGTGTCGTCTTTCTTCACGACGTTCCGTTACTTCATCCAAATTTTCATCTTCTACCGTTTCTTCTTCCTCTTCTTCTTCTTCCGAAGATCCTTCTGGGAGTGCGGGACGTCCTTCCCGAGATTTGTGTTGTTGCTCCTCTCCTGACGATTGTATTTGTGAGTCTGGTGCTGGCGCCGCATTTCTTTTCCCTCCCAGCCCATCTTCAGTACCACTCGCAGGAACATCGGGTGGAACACCATGAACTGCCGCCTCCCCTTCATCACATCTACCACCGGCACCGCAGCACAGCACGCAGAGGGCACACACCAGCAGCACACGGCCAGTCATCATCGCCATCACTCCTGTCACTTGCGTGTAGCCTTCAGCACAAACTAACGCCCCGCCAACGCAGAGTGAAAGGAAAAAAAACACCAGTACCGCACAAGGACAGTGACAAATACCAGCAGCTTGCACACAGCATGAGGCAGATGAAATCAGCGCGATTGCAGAACTTGCGCACCGCACCGCATGTAAGAAATTTAAAAAATAAAAACAGAGTTGAGAGTCCGTCAGGATACCCGGAGAAAATTAAAAAAAATCAATCGGGCAGCACTCTTATTTCATATGCCAAGCAGCACAAGACAACCGTGTGTTTCTGTACACATAACGCCCTCACCAGAAGAGAAATGAAATAAAAAAAAGACTGTACTCTTCCACCAGCACACAAAACACTCTTCACACTTCATTGCGGCATCCGGCCTGTTCCCCCAATCCTCATTTCGTGCAGTCCGTGGGACGCACAGCAATAAGGCCGGCACCGCGTGTGGGCAACAAAAACAAAACAAAGAAGAGAAACACGTCACACATGACAGTGTGCAGCAACCGAACATTAAATAAATAAACAGCAAGGATAATTATCATTCCAGGAAAACAAGAACAAAAAACAAAGTAAAATGTAGATAATAAAAGAAAACACGCATGCAACGCGGCAAATGTTCTCCGTGAGGAGTCGCAATTCCACACTCTTCGGCTCAGAAGACCGCCACAACTCCACACAATCCCAGAAGAAGCAGCAACGCCCAATACACACACACACACGCACAGTGCCGTCATCAATTAACTCTCGCAGTGTCAATTTCGCGTCGTTGAGCAGGGCAAAGCAGTCGTCGGGACTCACACCGTTTCCGGAATACTGCGCGGTGAATTCTCGTAATTGGGGTTTTCGTGTCCCGAGGCATTGCGTTCACTCAATTCGCCCGCATCACCCTCAGCAACAAATCCACTGCCCGCAACGCCATTTTCTAAAACGAGAGATTTGTGTCCGGTGGCGTTGCGCTCACTCACCTCGTCCGTGTTATCCGCAGCAACGTGTTCCCTGCCGCCATAAGTGACAGACATGATCCCCGATACATTCAGAGCCACTAATATTCTCGGACCGTTGGCAAATGAAGGCCTCTTCTTGGATGCATTCGGAACCATCATTTCGCTCGAATTGGTGGCAAACTCAAGCTTTTTCTCGGACGTGTTGGTCGCCGTGTTGGATGCGGGACTCGGATCGACGGTGTTGGGTGCGTCAGCCGCCGCAGACTGTCGCCAATCCTCGAGTTGACGTGACGGCTCAGCATTAACTTGCGGCGCAGTTGTCCCACCAGATTTTGTGTCATCCTTCCCTTCACGGGGTGGCGGCAACTGACAGATGCCCGTCTGGTCAGTATCGCTGCTCCGTGCAGGCGGATGGATGGTTCCATCGGGAGAAATTGACGCCGCCACAATTCATAAGGGCCGGCGTATTTATGTGTCGTCACATTCATCGTGAAGGCAACGGTGGCCCCTTCCTCTTCCGTTGCACAGCTGGCAGCACAGTTGCTACATGTGTGCACCGCATTGGCCACATGGCACACAGCACACAGCTCACCATTCCTGCCATGCATGCGCACACCAAAGCCACTGAAAGTATAATTCTCATGCTGAGCCTCAGCACCGGCAGCAGAACCCTTCCTCCACGCACACACACACACACACGCGATAGCTCAGGCTGCCGTCACTCGGAGCACACGACACATCCACCGGCACAACCACCGGCACAACCACCGCATCCGCATCACCAGATACATCTCCAGCACTCCCAACAGCCGTCACGTACACGAACGAGAGCGCAAGGAACAACACGGCGCACACCGCACGGTGACGCACCGTCGCCACTCGTGGAGTCGCTGGAGTCAGTCAGCTGGTCGGTGAGACAGAAGGAAAAAGAATGGAACAAGAGGGAGAGGGACGGGGCACAGCGGATACAGCGAGAGAGAGCAGACAGCATGCGGAGAAGGCAGCAGGCCCAGCCGCACAGTTCACACACCACGAGACGGCATCCACGCAAGAAAGGCACACAACGCCAGCAGCCACCCACCATGCAGGAGGAGAAGACATCCACCACCGTCTCCATATCCATCCAGCTCATCTCTACAGCCAACGGGAAATGGCCAAAACCCCGCGGCCACCATAGAACGCACACGGAGCGAGCACCCACCACACCAGCCACACGCGGTGCTCCACACCCGCAGGAAAGGAAACTCGGGGTGCGCACTCCTTCTCCCTTCTCCTCATGGCCACGGAGGAAGACAACAGCCGCCACACGCAACTGCCAGCATGCACTGCAAAAGAAGCATTCAAATCCACTGCAATGAGCATCTTATGTGTGTGTGTGTGGTTGTGTGTGCCTGCAGACACACAAATCAAAGAAGAAAAAGAAGAGCAACAAATATAAACGCACAAACTAAAATTTACAGCGGAGGTGCATGGCGGAAACAGAGAGAAGAAGACCGCTCAAACTCATGACTACACTGCCGCCAAGCAGCGGCAATTCACACAAGATTTATTTAGAACAACAACAAAAAAAAAACTTTCCCCTTCGTCTTATACAAGCCCCATCACACAAAATAATTATAAATAAAAGAGAGAAATCGCCCATTACTGTTCCACACAATTTTAGAAAGCAGCCGGCTGCCGTGTGGCCACACCAAACCGTCTGTATATATTTTGCCCGCAAAAGAAAATTTAATAGTTGCATGTCTTTCAACCGTCTGACCCTCTGCGTGTCCGCACATCGTTTATATTTCACGGGGTCATCTGCGTGTTGGTGCTCCCCTCAGCCCTCTCATCGGCGTGTGAGTGCGGCCCGCAGAGCACAGTCACTCGTGTGTGTGGGGACTGAGAGAAGCACGCAGACATGATGGGAGTCGCGTCTCTCCATCGGGAGAGTGAGCGCAGCAAAAGAAAAAATCATCAGGAGGGAAAAGAAACGCTCACGAGGCCGACACCGAAGGGACTGCCGGCACGTGAAATGCACACGCAAAGCAAAGGATCTTAAAAACACGGCGGCAGGGTGTGGCTGTGTGTGTGGCGCTGCGGGTGTCTGCCCGCCCTGGCCGCAAAAAAGCAAAACAAGAGGGAAAGAAATGTGTGCTCCGCCCCACAGGCCCTCGTCGCACGCCCACACGTCACGGCTCCCTCAGCGCGCCGTTCGTCGCGGCCCCTCCTCATGCGTGCAGCAGGCGAGGCGCACAGGGCCGTCGTCATGAGCGTGTCGGTGGGTGTGTGAGTGGAGCAGTTGGGCGGGAAACACACGGCACCCCTCGTAGGAAGAGTGCAGAAGAAACAATTAAAAGAGGGAAGAGTAAAAAAGAAAAAAACTTCCATAGTGATTGCCCCCAAAAGCAAAAAAGAGAACAGAAGAGGGATTAGAGGTTTAAAACGCACAAATTAATAACAAAAAAGTAGCAAAAATTTTAAAGCAAAAAGATAAAAAAATTAAATTTACAAAAAAACAAAACAAAAAGCCGAAGCGTGGGACGACCAGCGCACACACTCTCATTGCTCCCGTAAAGCAAAACACACACACAGGGAGAGAGAGAGAGAGAGGTCGCCCACTCAATGCAATGGAAACAAAACAGAAACAGTTACGGTGCTCCGCCCATGCAGCCAGGCAGGACGGCAGCGGTGCGTGTGGTGCAAAAGAGAGCACCAACGGGCATGCATGGGTGTGCATGCATATATACAATGGGCACATTATGTGTGTGCTTCGTGGGGTGAGGTGAGGGCGAGAGTCCATGCAAGGGGACAAACACAGAGAGTGGGTGAAAGACGAGTGTGTGTGCGGGCGGTGCACGGCTCTCTCTCCCTCACTCTCACGCGGCCACCACCGCAGCAGCAGCCGCAAACGCAACAAAAAGAAGAAGCAAAAGAGGGGCGGTGGTGTGGGAGACCGCGGTGCTGCCGTCACTGTCGTCCGTAATTGGAGTTGCATTTGTACCATTAGCAGTTTTTTCTTTCGGGGATTCTTCGCCATTTCCTGCGGAATGTTCACGCTGTTGGTGTTGCTGCTTTTCATGCTGTTCTTTTTCTTGTCGTTCCGGTTCTTGTTCTTGTAGAAGCTCTTGTTTTTCTCCAGAATGGTGTTCGACTGAATTATCCTGATCATGTATTGCTGTTTTTACCTCCTCTTCTCCGACTGTCGTACCTCGCAGTGCTTCTGCTACTGCCTCTGCTGTCTTTGCTGCTGTTGTTTTTGCGTCTGCTTCCGTTGCTGCTGCTGCTGCTTTTTCTGTTTCTGCTTTTGCTTTTGCTGCAGCTGTTTCCGTGTTTGCTGTTGCCGTTTTTGCTGTTTCTGCTGATGTTTTTGCTTCTGCTGCCGCTTCTGCTGCTGTGGCTGCTGCCTCTGCCGCTGCCTTTGCTGCTTCTTCTGCTGCTTTTCCTGCTGATGCTTTTGCTGTTTCAGCTGCTTCAGCTGCTGCTTTTGCTTTTGCTGCTGCTTCTGCGGCTTTTGCAGATGCTTCTTCTGCTGCTGTTTTTGCTGTTGCTGCAGCTTTTGCTGCTTCATCTTTTGCTGCTGTTGCTTCTTCTGCTGCTTTTGCTGCTGCTGCTTTTGCTGCTTCATCTTTTGCTGCTTCTGCTGCTTTCGCTTTTGTGGTTGCTTCTTTCGCTGCTGCTGCTGCTGCTTTTTCTGTTTCTGCTTTTGCTTTTGCTGCAGCTGTTGCCGCGTTTGCTGTTGCCATTTTTGCTGTTTCTGCTGATGTTTTTGCTTCTGCTGCTGCTGCTTCTGCTGCTGCTGTTTTTGCTGCCGCCTCTGCTGCTGCTGCTTTTGCTTTTTCAGCTGCTTCTGATGCTGCCGTTGCTTTTGCTGCTGCCTTTTCTGCTGCTTCTGTTGCTGTTTCAGCTGTTTCTGCTAATGTTTTTGCTTTTGCTGCTGCTTCTGCGGCTTTTGCGGATGCTTCAGCTGCTGCTGTTGTTTTTACTGCTGCTTCTTCCGCTGCTTCTGATGCTGCTTCTGCTTCTGCTTTTGCCTTTTCTGCTGTTTCTGCTGCTGCCTTTGCGTCAGCTGCTTCTGTTGCTGTTTCTGCTGTTTCTGCTAATGTTTTTGCTTTTGCTGCTGCTTCTGCGGCTTTTGCAGATGCTTCAACTGCTGCTGTTGTTTTTACTGCTGCTTCTTCCGCTGCTGCTTTTGCTTTTTCAGCTGCTTCTGATGCTGCTTCTGCTTCTGCTTTTGCCTTTTCTGCTGCTTCTGCTGCTTCTGCTGCTGCCTTTGCGTCAGCTGTTGCTTCTGCTGCTCTTTGTTCTTGTCTTACCTTCAATCTCGCAACTGGAATAAATAATTCTTTCAGACTGTTGTCGTCCCCACCAGAAACCACACCAACAGCTCCATCGGCTGCAACACACCACAGCACGCAGAGGGCACACACCAGCAGCACACGGCCAGTCATCATCATCGCCATCACTCCTGTCACTTGCGTGCAGCCTTCAGCACAAACTAACTCCCCGTCAACGCAGAGTGAAAGCAAAGGAGAGAGACAAGTCACACAGCCGCGCACACTGTTCCATCCAGGAATGAGAGTCACGCACAGTAAAAAATAAAAGCAACGCACACAAAAATGAGACAGAAGGAATCAGTACAATTGCAAATCTCGAACGCCGCCCTGCAAACCAGAAGTTCTACAGAGTAAAAAAGCAAAAATTAAAAAAGAAAGCATCCAAGGTTCCTCTGCGCATGCACATACGGCGAGAGCGGTTCGTCGTGTCGGCACCCCTCACGGAGGGTACGCAAACACACAAGAGAAGGTGCAGCTCGCCCACAGCAACACAAAAGCAAAGTAACAATAAAAAAAGGATCCCCGCACACCATGTGGATTGTTGGTCCACGGGAAGCGCAGCCAATATTTGTTGTGAAAAGATGCATTTTTTCCTTCTATTTTGTGACAGCAATGAGTAGCGCAAGGGCCGTCAGCAATAAAGTGGTAAGTATTCCCTCGCAAAACGGCCGTCGTGCGGCTGAGGCGGTCCCAAACAGTCGCAGTCCAAATTCTCAACGACGGGGCATTACCACAGTGGATGAAGCGGAGTGTCCCGTGTTCCGTCAGGGATCAGCAGCACGTGGCGTCTGTGATGGGACGGTGGCGGAAGGGCGTGGTCCATCTCGAATGCCCGCGCTTGTGCTTCCTGCGTGTCCTGTCTGCTGGTATGCTTGGCGACTTCGGGGGCAACCTGCGCGCAAGACGTCTGTTAAGAAGACGGTGGAGCCATTGCGGCATGCAAAGTTGAGGCCCTCTCCCACTATCGGAACTCCAGGCCGAGCACTTCCGGCATGTGCCGTCATATTGTGGATGGACGAGCGCACTCTGCCGCAGTTTGGGCAGGACGACTTCAATCCGCCGCTCGCTGGTCGGAAAGAAGTTGCGGTGCTCACGTCTGGAAGAGGGGACGGCGGAGGCGGAGCGCAGACGCGGTGAAGAAAGGGACGGCACCACCGACACAGGGTTCCTTGTGATATGCAGGGCGCGTGCCGGTATGTCGAAGAGCGGGCAGGAGTCGCATCGCGCCTGTGCGCGGTGCCGCCACTCGGAACACGATGTCCGGGTCAACACCAGGAATAGAGTCCTCGCCACACCGTCAAGCGCCTGTCATGCGGTGTGCGCGCCTTCCTTTTCCTCATGGACGTCCTTTCACTACAGTCGCCTCACTGCGGTGAGGAAGCCCACGTGCCAGGCATTGACGCAGTCCTGCGGGAGGGATCGTGCCATGATGGCGTCAGCGTCCGCTGTCACGTTGCGTGGGACTCCGCAGTGTCATGGTGAAAATACGGAGCCAACAGCGCGACCTCGATCCGCCAGTGGAAGCGGCACGGTGGAACTCTCCTCGGCGACGTCGTCGTGCTCCGCCAGCGAGCCAAGGCGGAGCGACTTCATCGTCGAGAGGGAGTCTGTGGCGGCAGGAACTCGTGTGGGCGTTCGGGATGCTGCTGCCAGGCGGGGAACTGGGAACTGTCTGAGGCCATGCTGAGTGACAGGACACTCCGCTCGGCAGGAGCATGCAAGGCTGCCGGCAGCTGCGCGGTGAGGCCCCACAGGGAGCGCGGCTGTCCGGGGAGTCAAGTGGCAGCGCAGCGGATCCACACGCACGCTCAGCGAGAGACAACGAGCCGTCCACCGCCAAGACAGTTGCCAGCGAATAACAGGACGTTGAGCATGAATAGGACACGTATGCCCGCACCGCCGTGGGCATGGACAGCGACCCCGATTCACTCAGCAACAGCGATCTAATGCCCTTGGATGGTACAACAGTTACGCCTGAGCCCAGCACAGCCCTAGCAAATGCTGAACGAGTGATAACGTGTCGGGCGGCGGTGATGCCGCACAGGATTATTTGCGCACAACGTCTGGGAAACCAGAGATCCCATCGGAGCACAACGCAGCATCACTTGTGAGCAACGGTTTTTGTGAGCACGGGCATTTCACGGATTTGTTGGCCATGGCTGAAATTGGTGACATCACCGTGCATGGGTGTGTGTCTCGGGTGTTGTTGCTTCTGATTCTGGGGCTGTGAGGCACTTTGGCACTCTGCTGAGGTGTGAGGGAGGGTGGAACTGCGGCTTTTCGTGGAACAATAACTGTGCAGCTTGCCAGCATTAACCACTGTGTTTTGTCAATAAGTTAAGTTTTATTATTTTCTTTTATTTATTTATTTATTTTTGCTGCTTTTGCCCTATTGGAATAATCAGCATCCCTGTGTTTTTCCCCGATGCTCGTTTGCTGTACGTTGTCATGAGTGAAGTATTTCTACTTTTTCTTTGTTTTCTTTTGTTGCCCACACGCGGTGCCGACCCTGCGGCTGTGCGTCCCACGGACTGCACAAGAGGAGGATTGGGGGAACAGGCCGGATGCCGCATGAAATGTGAGGGGAGTTGTGTGGGCTGGTGGAACAGTACGAACTTTTTTTGCTTTATACAATCCAGGCATTACGTATACACAAACCAGTGGTTGTTTACATTGCGTTGCTTGGCACATAAAATAAAAGTTGTGCCTGATCCATTTTTATTTTTTTACTTTTTGGGACTCATGCCGGACTCTCAACTATGTTGTTGTTCCTTTTTACTGCATTTTTAAACTTCTGGTTTGCAGGGCTGTGTGTGAGTTCTGCAATTGTACTGATTTCAATTTCCTCGTGGTGTGTGCATTGTCATTTTTCACTGTGCGTGGTGGCTGTGTGTAGTGTAGCGGCCGTGTATTTCTCCTTCCCTTTTTGCTCTGCGTTGACGGGGAGTTAGTTTGTGCTGAAGGCTGCACGCAAGTGACAGGAGTGATGGCGATGATGATGACTGGCCGTGTGCTGCTGGTGTGTGCCCTCTGCGTGCTGTGGTCCGTTGCGGCCGATGGAGATGTTGTTGTTTCTGGTGGGGAAGACAACAGTCTGAAAGAATTATTTATTCCAGTTGCGAGATTGCAGGAAAGACAAGAACAAAGAGCAGTAGAAGCAACAGCTGACGCAAAGGCAGCAGCAGAAGCAGCAGAAGCATCAGCAGAAGCAGCTGAAAGAGCAAAAATAGCAACAGCAGAAGCAAAGGCGGCTGCAGAGGCAGCAGCAGCAGCAGCAGCAGAAGCAGCAAAGGCAGCAGCCACAGCAGCAAAGGCAGTAGACACCGAGGCAAAAGCAAAAGCAGCAGCAGCAGCAGCTGAATCAGCAGCAACAAAAGCAACAACAGCATCAGAAGCAGCAACAAAAGCAAAAGCAGCAGCATCAGCAGCAAAGGCAGCGACAGAGGCAGCAGCAGCAAAGGCAGAAGCAGCAGCAGCAGCAAAAGCAGAAGAAGCAGAAGCAGCAGCAGAAGCAGCAAAGGCAGCGGCAAAGGCGGCAGCCACAGCAGCAGAAACAGCAGCCACAGCAGCTGAAGCGGCAACAGAAGCAAAAACATCAGCAGAAACGGCAAAAGCAGCAACAGCAAAAGCAAAAACAGAAGCAGAAAAAGCAGCAGCATTAAAAGATGACGCAGAAAAAGCAGCAGCAGCAAAGGCGGCTGCAGAGGCAGCAGCAGCAGAAGCAACAGCAGCAGCAGAAAAGGCAGCAACAGCAGCATCAAAAGCAACAGCAGCAGCAGAAAAGGCAGCAACAGCAACATCAAAAGCAAAAGCATCAGCAGAAACAGCCAAAGCAAAAGCAGCAGCAGCAGCAGAAAAAGCAGCAGCAGAAAAGGCAAAAGCAGCAGCAGAAAAAGAAGCAGAAGAAGCAGCAGAAAAAGAAGCAGAAACAGCAAAAGAAGGAGCAAAAGCAGCATCAACGGAAGCGGACGCAAAAGCAACAGCAGAAGAAGCACTGCGAGGTACGACAGTCCGAGCAGAGGAGGTAAAAACAGCAACACATGATCAGGATAATTCAGTCGAACACCATTCTGGAGAAAAACAAGAGCTTCTAAAAGAACAAGAACCGGAACGACAAGAAAAAGAACAGCATGAAAAGCAGCAACACCAACAGCGTGAACATTCCGCAGGAAATGGCGACGAAGCCGCGAAAGAAAAAACTGCTAATGGTACAAATGCAACTGCAATTACGGACGACAGTGACGGCAGCAACGCGGTCTCTCACTCCACCTCCCCTCTTTTGCTTCTTCTTGTTGTTGCGTGTGCGGCTGCTGCTGCGGTGGTGGCCGCGTGAGAGTGAGGGAGAGAGAGCCATGCACCGCCCGCACACACACTCGTCCTTCTCTCACTCTCTGTGTGTGTCCCCTTGCATGGACTCTCGTCCTCACCTCACCCCACGAGGCACACACATAATGTGCCCATTGTATATATGCATGCACACCCATGCATGCCCGTTGGTGCTCTCTTTTGCACCACACGCACCGCTGCCGTCCTGCCTGGCTGCATGGGCGGAGCACCGTAACTGTTTTGTTTTGTTTTCATTGCATTGAGTGGGCGACCTCTCTCTCTCTCTCTTTCCCTGTGTGTGTGTTTTGCTTTACGGGAGCAATGAGAGTGTGTGTGCTGGTCGTCCCACGCTTCGGCTTTTTGTTTTGTTTTTTTATAAATTTAATTTTTTTATCTTTTTGCTTTAAAATTTTTGCTACTTTTTTGTTATTAATTTGTGCGTTTTAAACCTCTAATCCCTCTTCTGTTCTCTTTTTTGCTTTTGGGGGCAATCACTATGGAAGTTTTTTTCTTTTTTACTCTTCCCTCTTTTAATTGTTTCTTCTGCACTCTTCCTACGAGGGGTGCCGTGTGTTTCCCGCCCAACTGCTCCACTCACACACCCACCGACACGCTCATGACGACGGCCCTGTGCGCCTCGCCTGCTGCACGCATGAGGAGGGGCCGCGACGAACGGCGCGCTGAGGGAGCCGTGACGTGTGGGCGTGCGACGAGGGTCTGTGGGGCGGAGCACACATTTCTTTCCCTCTTGTTTTGTTTCTTTGCGGCCAGGGCGGGCAGACACCCGCAGCGCCACACACACACACACAGCCACACCCTGCCGCTTTAAAAAGGAATTTTGCTTGCTTTATTTGACTTTCTCACTGTGTGCGTTTTTTTGCGCCGGCAGTCCCTTCGGTGTCGGCCTCGTCAGCATTTCTCTCCCCTCCTGATGATTTTCTTTTGCTGCGCTCACTCCCCCGATGGAGGGACGCGACTGCCGTCGTGTCTGCGTGCTTCTCTCAGTCCCCATGCACACACACGAGTGACTGTGCTCTGCGGGCCGCACTCACGCGCCGATGAGAGGGCTGAGGGGAGCAGCAACACGCAGATGACCCCATGAAATATAAACGATGTGCGGACACGCAGAGGGTCAGACGGTTGAAAGACATTTAAATACCCTTTTAATTTTCTTTTGTGGGCAAAATATATGCAGACAGTTTGGTGTGGCCACACGGCAGCCAGACGGTTTTTAAATTCGTGTGGAACAGTAATGGACGATTTCTTTTTCATTTATAATTATTTTGTGTGATGGGGTTTATATAAGACGAAGGAGAAAGATCTTTTGTTTTAAATAAATCTTGTGTGGATTGCCGCTGCTGGGGCTGCAGTGCAGTCGTGAGTTTGGGCGGTCTTTTACTCTTTATTTCCGCCATGCACCTCCGCTGTACATTTTTGTGCGTCTCTCCACATACTCTGCTATCTTTTCTACTTCTTTGCTTTGTGTTTCTGCAGGCACACACAACCACACACACACACATAAGATGCTCATTGCAGTGGATTAATGCTCCTTTTGTAGTGCATGCTGGCAGTTGCGTGTGGCGGCTGTTGTTTTTTTCCGTGGCCATGAGGAGAAGGGAGGAGGAGGGAGTGCGCAGCCCGAGTCTCCTTTCCTGCGGGTGTGGTGCACCGCGTGTGACTGCGCTGAGTTGGGCTCCGTGTCCCATTGAGGGCGGGATGGCTGGAAATTTTTTTGCCGCGTCATGGATGAATGAGGGTTTGTTTGCTCCGTGTGGCTGGTGTGGTGGGTGCTCGCTCCGTGTGCGTTGTGTGGTGGCCGCGGGTTTTTGCCATTTCCCTGGGGCTGTAGAGATGAGCTGGGAGGAGACGGTGGTGGATGTCTTCTCCTCCTGCATGGTGGGTGGCTGCTGGCGTTGTGTGCCTTCCTTGCGTGGATGCCGTCTCGTGGTGTGTGAACTGTGCGGCTGGGCCTGCTGCCTTCTCCTCATGTTGTCTGCTCTCTCTCTCGCTGTATCCGCTGTGCCCCGTCCCTCTCCCTCTTGTTGCATTGTTTTCCCTCTGTCTCACCGATCAGCTGATTGGCTCCAGCGACTTCACTACGAGTGGTGACGATGGTGGTGACGGCGCCGTGTGGTGTGCGCCGTGTTGTTCCTTGCGCTCTTGTGCTGCTTGTCTGAGTGCGTGACGGCTGTTGGGAGTCCTGGAGATTTATCTGGTGATGTGGATGCGGTGTTTGTGCCGGTGGATGTGTCGTATGCTCCGAGTGACGGCGGCCTGAGCTATCGCGTGCGTGTGTGTGTGTGGGCGTGGAAGAAGTGTTCTGCTGCCAGTGCTGAGGCTCAGCATGAGAATTATACTTTCAGTGGCTTTGATGTGCGCATGCATGGCAGGAATGGTGAGCTGGGTGCTGTGTGCCATGTGGCCAATGCGGTGCACACATGTAGCAACTTTGCTGCCAGCTGTGCAACGGAAGAGGAAGGGGCCACCGTTGCCTTCACGATGAATGTGGCGACACATAAATACGCTGGCCCTTATGAATTGTGGCGGCGTCAATTTCCTCCGATGGAACCATCCATCCGCCTGCACGGAGCAGCGATGCTGACCGGACGGGCATCTTTGAGTTGCCGCCACCCCGTGAAGGGAAGGATGTCACAAAATCCGGTGGGACAACTGCGCCGCAAGTTAATGCTGAGCCGTCACGTCAACACGAGGATTGGCGACAGTCTGCGGCGGCTGACGGACCCAACACCGTCGATCCGAGTCCCGCATCCAACACGGCGACCAACACGTCCGAGAAAAAGCTTGAGTTTGCCAGCAATCCGAACGAAGTGATGGTCCCGAATGCATCCAAGAAGAGGCCTTCCTTTGCCAACGGTCCGAGAATATTAGTGGCGCTGAATGCATCCGGGATCATGTCTGTCACTTATGGCGGCAGGGAACACGTTGCTGCGGATAACACGGACGAGGTGAATGAGCACGACGCCACCGGACACAAATCTCTCGTTTTAGAAAATGGCGTTGCGGGCAGTGGATTTGTTGCTGAGGGTGATGCGGGCGAATTGAGTGAACGCAATGCCTCGGGACACGAAAACCCCTATTGCGAGAATTCACCGCGCAGTATTCCGGGAGCGATGTGAGTCCCGACGACTGCTTTGCCCTGCTCAACGACGCGAAATTGACACTGCGAGAGTTAACTGTTGACGGCACTGTGCGTATGTGCGTGTATTGGGCGTTGCTGCTTCTTCTGGGATTGTGTGGAGTTGTGGCGGTCTTCTGAGCCAAAGAGTGTGGAATTGCGACTCCTCACGGAGAACATGTGCCGCGTTCCCCGCGTGTTTTCTTTTATTATTTTCATTTTGCTTTGTTTGTTTTTCTTGGAATGATAAGTATCCTTGCTGTTCCCTTATTTAATGGTCGGTTGCTGCACACTGTCATGTGTGACGTGTTTCTCCCTCTACTTGTTTTGTTGTTTGTTGCCCACACGCGGTGCCGGCCTCACTGCTGTGCGTCCCACGGACTGCACGAAACGATGATTAGAGGAACAGGCCGGATGTCGCAATGAAGTGTGAGGGATGTTGTGTGGGCTGATGCCGTTTGTGACTCTGTGTGGTGTAGCGACCGTGTCTCCTTTTTTTGTCCACCCTGCGTTGACGGGGAGTTAGTTTGTGCTGAAGGCTGCACGCAAGTGACAGGAGTGATGGCGATGATGATGACTGGCCGTGTGCTGCTGGTGTGTGCCTTCTGCGTGCTGTGGTGCGGTGCCGGCGGCAGATGTGATGAAGCGGAGGACACGGCAGTTTCTGGTATAGGTGGTGAATCTCCGCTGGCATCAAAAGGAATTGAAACGTCTCCAGAAGACACCCAAGAATTAAGACGTGGAGCAGGAGGTGTTGAAGGAAATGTACCTTCCACATCTTCAGAGGATGAAGTTGAAGAAGGTGAAGATGATGATGATGATAAAGGGGGGGAAGATGGAGAAGGAAAAAGAACAGAAAGGCAGAGTGTACAAGAAGGAACAGCTGCACCAGAGCCAGGTTCCAGGGAAAATAATATAAGTGGGAGTGATCAGGAAAAGAACCAGTCAATTGCACCTGCAGGGGACATTTCTCCTTCCGGCAGTCGGGAATCAAATGCCAATCCTTCGCAACCGGAATTTGAAAAAAAGAATGACACCGGCAAAAATCCATCTGCAGTAGAGAATCCACTCACAACAGTTAATGGAGAGAACAGACTGCCTGGGGGCATTGCGGGTGGAATTCCTCCACCACCTCCAGAAGACGGTGTTAATTCCCGCGAACAGGATGGCGAAGACACCATGAGTGAAGGCGAAAAAAATGTTCCGTCGCCTGAGACCGCAGCCACACCACAAAGCCACCGAGACAAAGGCTCAGAAGGGACTGGGGAAGACACAAAAGCAACGACAGTAACCGCCAATACAACTGATACGACGAATACACAAAACAGTGACGGCAGCACCGCGGTCTCCCACACCACCTCCCCTCTTTTGCTTCTTCTTTTTGTTGCGTGTGCGGCTGCTGCTGCGGCTGCAGTGGCCGCGTGAGAGTGAGGGAGAGAGAGCCATGCACCGCCCGCACACACACTCGTCTTTCACTCACTCTCTGTGTGTGTCCCGTTGCATGGACTCTCGCCCTCACCTCATCCCACGAGGCACACACATAATGTGCCCGTTGTATATATGCATGCACACCCATGCATGCCCGTTGGTGCTCTCTTTTGCACCACACGCACCGCTGGCGTCCTGCCTGGCTGCATGGGCGGAGCACCGTAACTGTTTTTGTTTCCATTGCATTGAGTGAGCGACCTCTCTCTCTCTGTGTGTGTGTTTTGCTTTACGGGAGCAATGAGAGTGTGTGCGCTGGTCGTCCCACGCTTCGGCTTTTTGTTTTTTTTTCAGTTGTTGTTTTACTTGTGTTGTGGTTGAGTGCACCCATTACCCTTGTTTTTGAATTGGTGGTTTTTTTTTATTACCGATGCGTGATTTTTTTTTTTTTCTTTTTTCTTTCGTTTGGAGAGAGTGTCAGTGTTTCTTATCCTTGTCAAGTCATTAAATGTTTTCTTTTACGTACAGCATGTGTCGGTTGATCCACGTCACCCTACGGTCTGCAGTGCTGCTGGTGCTTCTGGTTGTGATGATGTTTGATGTGCCGGCGGGTGCTTTGCTGCCAGCCTGACGTACTCCTGCTCCTCGGACAAGGCGATGCGTGCGGACAGGGAAAAGTCGATCCCGGCTGTGGTGAGGGACGTGCCTTTTGGATCTGAGGGTGCGTCGCAGACATGCACCGTCATTGGGAGGAATGGATGGGCGCCCACCCGCATCAATGTGTCGACAAGGGACCTGGATGATACCAGGAAGTATTGCAGCTCGGAGCGGTATTGCGCAATGGATTCATTGGTGACAATTGCGAGTGTGAAGATGACGTTTTTCTATGCTGTGAAAAGGGAAGTATTTGTTTCGTTATACTTTGCTGCCACTTTTCGTTAATGGCCTGCGGGCTGTCCGTGGCGATGTGGCCAGTTTTTCCTTTTTGAACGATGCTGTCGTGCGAGAGGGTGTGTTCCCAAATAGTCGGATGCTCAGTTGTCGAGGACGGGTGCATTCCCACAGCGTGTGCGGCAGGGCCTCCCGTGGATTGTCGGGGGCTCAGCGGCTGGTGGGGTTGCAGCAGAGGAGTGGCTGAAGGGCTATGGCTGTCATTGGAGCTTGCAGAGGTGCGTGGTCCGTTTTTTGCTCGTTGATACGCTTGACATTTTTGGTGGTGACCTGCGCTTGAGGCACTTGTTGGGGAGACCGTGGAGCTGTCGCAGAATCCACATGTGAGGCCTTCTGCAACGATTGAAGTGCCAGGGTTAGTGCGTCGGGCGTGTGCCTTCATATTGTGGACGGACGAGAAGACGCTGCTGCAGCTTGGGCAGGGCGACGTTGATCCGCTGCTCGTCATTCTACGAGGAGGTGCCGTGGACACGCCAGGTGGAGGTTCCAGAGGAGGTCCGGGCGGTCCTGCCTCCTCAGTGTGAGGAAGGGACGGCACCACCGACATAAAGGGTTGCTTGTGATCTGCAGGGCGCGTGCCGGTATTTCGACGAATGGGCAGGAGGACGTCCATCAGCCGCTTGCTGGTCGGCAAGGAGTGGCGGTGCTCACGTCGGGAAGATGTTCCGGTGGAGGCAGAGCACAGACGCGGTCCCAACAGCACCGCAGCACAGCCGATCCCAGAGGGCAGGGAAGTGGCGCCACCATGCCTCGGGGCATCACAGGCCTGGGATCGAGAGGGCACCAAGCTGTTTCGCACGGACCTCTAGCAGAGTAGAGAAGCCACGGCGGAGGGCATGATTGCGGTCCTCCCGTTTGCGGAGCACTTCAGCTCGGGGCAGGCTGCCGCTGCAACACACTCGGCCTGCTACATTCCGTCCGTCCAGATACATGTGGGACTGTCACGGCTGCCGCTCGCACGGTGCCTCGGTGCATCTCCAACCATGTGATTACAGCAGCCAGAGGCGTTGCACACGCCGAGGTGGAAGCATCACAGTCAGCTTCACGCAGGGAAAAAAGCATCATGTTTCCGTCGTGGCAGCATGCCTGCCTGTCGCGGGATGCCGTCCTCCGTCCCTGCAGTGTGGGATGGCAGATGGTGGTCCGAGTCCATGTAAACGGGTGGACGCCCAGTGGGAGACACACAGTGCGCGTTGCGCAGTCACTTCGGGAAACGAGACACTGCGGCCGCTGATCCGCGTTGCCTGTGCCGGGTCGTCGGACAGCCCAAATTCCATGCCGGTTGGGGTGGCGGCGAGGTCCTCTCCTGCCGTCGTTGATGGTGAGCAACCGTCCCGCAGCTCATGATGTGAATTCAGGCCGCAAATCACCGCTGCGGGGCCTAAGCGACGAATGTTGCTCGCAAAGTGAGCGGCGTGAGCCATTGCCGTGGGAAGGCTGCAGAGGGTCACCGCGTACATGCTGGGGCAGGCCGGTGGGCACACGCGGAAGGCGGTGGTCTCCACGCAGTTGGTGCCACAAGCAACAGGCGCTCGCACGGCAATGTGTGGCGCACCAAGAGGGCCACGCCACCGGCACGACCACTGCAGGCCTGGTGGAAGTCACCGCAGCCAATGAGCCTCGTCGCTGGGGCACTCTCGTGCCGGCACTCCTGCAGAAGAACCATGCCGGGATGGTGCTGCGCCAGTCGAGCAGCAGGGGCAATCCCGAAGGGCGAATGGCCTGAAGTTCTGAGCTGCCAGACAACTAAAAGGCCATCCTCATCGGAGCTGCGGTTCTTGCGGACACCACCGCAGCGGGTGACGCCGTCGTTTCCCCATCACGCTCGCAGCAATGCCCTGCCACAATCACTCCCACAGAGAGACAAGGAAGAGTGCGTGGATGTGTGCCGAGAGAACAGCGACTGTCATCGTCAGAGGAGGCCATCGTGGCACCGTCCGTCAGTCGTCAGCACACAACGAGCAACGCCCGCAACCGGAAGTGCAAAAACAGAGGGGAGAAAATGACCCCAAGAGCAGGCAGCACCCTCACACATGGCGGGCATCGTGCGGCCACGTCATCATTCCAGCACGGAACGCAAGCCCACGCCCCGCTGTCGCCAAGAGCATTCATGCAGACCACTGTGCAAATACTTATGTGTGTGATGGAGAAACGGAAAAAAAGGAAGGAGCACAGGGAGGCACATCAACACAGCAAGAGGCACAGCTGGATGGCAGCGATACATGCGGTGCGGCCCCAACCTCAACAATCACACACGGTGGCAGCACACACCCATCCACAAAAACAAAACAAAAGGAAAACAAAACAGAAGAAAAACACGGCGGCAGGGTGTGGCTGTGTGTGTGTGGCGCTGCGGGTGTCTGCCCGCCCTGGCCGCAAAGAAACAAAACAAGAGGGAAAGAAATGTGTGCTCCGCCCCACAGGCCCTCGTCGCACGCCCACACGTCACGGCTCCCTCAGCGCGCCGTTCGTCGCGGCCCCTCCTCATGCGTGCAGCAGGCGAGGCGCACAGGGCCGTCGTCATGAGCGTGTCGGTGGGTGTGCGAGTGGAGCAGTTGGGCGGGAAACACACGGCACCCCTCGTAGGAAGAGTGCAGAAGAAACAATTAAAAGAGGGAAGAGTAAAAAAGAAAAAAACTTCCATAGTGATTGCCCCCAAAAGCAAAAAAGAGAACAGAAGAGGGATTAGAGGTTTAAAACGCACAAATTAATAACAAAAAAGTAGCAAAAAAATTTAAAGCAAACAGGAAAAAAACTAAAGAAATTAAAGAAACAAAAAAAGACGAAGCGTGGGACGACGAGCGCACACATTCTCTCATTGTTCCCGTAAAGCAAAACACACACACACAGGGAGAGATAGAGAGAGAGGTCGCCCACTCAATGCAATAAAAACAAAACAAAAACAGTTACGGTGCTCCGCCCATGCAGCCAGGCAGGACGGCAGCAGTGCGTGTGGTGCAAAAGAGAGCACCAACGGGCATGCATGGGTGTGCATGCAATATATACAATGGGCACATTATGTGTGTGCCTCGTGGGGTGAGGTGAGGGCGAGAGTCCATGCAAGGGGACACACACAGAGTGAAAGACGAGTGTGTGTGCGGGCGGTGCATGGCTCTCTCTCCCTCATACCCACACGATCGCCACCGCAGCCGCCGCCGCACACGCAACAAGAAGAAGAAGCAAAAGAGGGGAGGTGGTGTGGGAGACCGCGGTGCTGCCGTCACTGTTTTGTGCATTCACCGTATAAGTTGTGTTGGCTGTGGTTGTTTTTGCTGTTTGTGGTGCTGCCTCACTGAGTGCTGGAACAACGTTGGTATTGCCAGTTTCAAGGCTGTCGTGTTGTTCTTCAGAGCTTTGAGCATCATCCTTATCTGCCTTATTCTGGACATGATCACCGCTGCCACTTGTAGAGGTAGATGAGGTTGTTGGTTCTGCTGGACTGCCGGTTGCTGCATTCTTCGTCGAATCCTCTGTGTCCGTGTCATGGCTGTGCTGCCCTTGTGTAGCATCCCCTGAAGGCTGTTCCGGTGCTTTTGATTCCATTGTTGGTCCTGACGGCGTGGCTTCGTTCGTTATTTTTTTTGGATTCTGTGAGTTTTCTTGATCAGGTAGTGGGCTTTCTTCACCCTCTGATGATGGTAGTAATGGTGGTGTTGTTTCTCCTCCATTATTTTTACTTTCGCGAGACCCGGTTTGTGCTTTATTTTTTTGTTTTTCTCTTCCTGTTTTTTCATCTTCTCTCTCTTCATCATCGCCCGAATTATTGCGAGGGTCAACATCTCCTTTTGTCTCTGTGTCCCTGGGCAATTGTTTAACGCCGGATGTACCCATCGAAGAGGGGTTTTCACCAGAACGAGTGGAAGTGCTGCCAGATGAAGAGGACAATTGATCGGTGGTTTGGTCTTGGGACTCCCTTGGCTCTTTGCTGCCGGGATCCAAGTTATTTTTTTCATTCCCTTTTTGGCCAGCCATAAGTGACTGCCTGTTTTCATCACCTGTCCCTGGCACTCCAGGCCCAGACGGCAGGGATGCTGCTCCTGCACCTGCAGCACCCTGCCCTCCTCCTGCACCAGGCGCTTCATTGTCCCCACTACCAGCCAGCAGACTACTAGGCGATTTTCCTCCCACACTGTCCAATGGGGCATCAAGACTTTCTAATTCTTCTCCTTCTCTTTCCCCAGCTTCAACCGCCTTTATTAATCCCATTCGGGTGGAAATCAACCCGAAATCCGCCTTCAGGCGCAGTCCGTTATTTCCTCCATTATGCGTGTGCGTCAAGACGTTCCCATCACCCTCAACGCAGCGGTTGTCCCTTGCAGCTCCAAAAACAGTGAGGCACCACAGCACGCAGAGGGCACACACCAGCAGCACACGGCCAGTCATCATCATCGCCATCACTCCTGTCACTTGCGTGTAGCCTTCAGCACAAACTAACTCCCCGTCAACGCAGAGTGAAAGCAAAAGAGAAAAGAGAGACAAGTCACACAGCCACGTACAGTGACAACAACAACATCCCATCAACACCATGAGGCAGCTGGAATCGGTGCGATTGCAAACAACACACACCGCCCTGCAAACCAGAATCCAAAAAGTAAAGACGCACAACAACAGAGTTGAGAGTCCGGAAGAGCTCCCAAAAAGTAAAAAAATGAAAAAATGATCAGGCACGACTTTCATTTCATGTGCCATGTGGCACAAAACGACCGTGTTTTTGTCTATACATATTGCCTGCACAAGGAAAAACAATAAAATCAAAAATAAAACAGATCTTACTGTTCCACCAGCACACAAAACACTCTTCACACTTCATTGCAGCATCCGGCCTGATCCTCCAATCCTCCTTTTTTTTGTGCAGTCCACGGCACGCACAGCAGTAAGGCTGGCAACGCTGTGGGCCACAAACAACAAATAAAAGTAAGAAACACGTCACCCATTGCAGTGTACGGCGATTAAACATCGGAGGGAAAAAGAAAAAGAAGGGGTGCTGACTATCCCATCCGTGCAAAAGCAGCAGCAGACAATAGCAATGAATCATTTAAATAAAGCAGAGAAAACACGCGGAAAAAGCGGCACGTACTGTCCATTAGAAATCGCACAACCGCATTCTACGGCTCATAAAAATGCCAATTCCCCACACACTCCTTGAAGTAAAGACAGAAAATGCCCAAGGCACACACCCATGGACGGCACCGTAACCAATTCATTTTGGGAACAATAAAACAGTAGAGCCATTGACATCAGTGGTGCTGTTTCCCGCGCAAAATTCCCCCTTGGCGGGCAGTGGCACCGCTTCCCCCGCAGCCGCGTCAATGCCCGGATCCTGTGGCAGTTTGGCCGCAAAATTCCCGGGGCGCGATGTCGCTTTTCCCTCCTTGCAATCCGCTTCAGTCTGCTTGCCACGCAAAAAAGGGGCATCTGTAGTTCCTGCCTGGTCAGTGGGCGGTTGCACAGACAGACATGCGTCAGCGTCACCTGACTGCAGCCTGAGCCACTGCAACCGTCACCTCCAACGTAGAAGCATGAGACGTCGAGCAACTGCGCCCCACGTGTAACTGTCGTTGCTGAGCTCCCCAAAGTTTTGCCACCCACGCACACGGTGCCCATGCCGTTGTGGAGCACGAATGCCACCCGGTACGTTCTCTCCAGCCCGCAGTTCCCGTGCTGCGCTTCTCCCGCCTCACCGTCAAACGCCACCTCCCACTTATTGTCCGCCGTGACTGACAGTCCCACCATCCTCACACTCCCAGCGCCACCCACAGCAACCATAAGGGCGCTGCCGCTGCCCGCAGGAGCCGCCCCAATCGTCGCCACAAGAGTAAAGTCCTTGTTCACAATGTGGAATCGTTGATTCCGCCACCGATTACCCATAGGCCACTCTGCCCACACCCCAGGCCCCTCAAACGTCGCACCGCCCTCAACCTTCGTTGCTGTCCCAATCGCCGTGGCACTCGCCGCGAGATATTCGTTCACCCAGCAATCCCTCTCACCCTCGTTGGACAAATATCCGACCAGTCCATTCGTGGGCATAGGAGTGCTGCAGGCACCGTCGGATGCGGTTCCCTCTTTGCTGGTGGAAGTGCAAGGCGTTGCGACGTTCTTGTCGACTGCATCCCAATTCCTCAGCGCAGTCTTTATTTCATCCAGCTGCTCAGTGAGGTGTGCGAGTACAACACGCCCTTGTCCTGCATTCCACTCGTACAGGGCAAACAGTTCACCGCCCTTGTACTGCAGGGTATCTGCGTTTTTGAAAACACCATCAGCACATAACAGTCCAATGGGGTAAAATCGATTCATATCAGTCATATAAAGACGCAACACGCTCGTGGCTCTCCGAATATTATTCTGCCTGGGAAAGGCAAACAGCATTACACTCCTCCCCTCGATGGATGCCGTCACGATGTCGAGTCGACCACCAGTCGTAGCACTCTTCAAGGCCTCACTCAAGACATTCGAATGTGCTCCGCTAAAATCCATCCATTTCTCCCCATTTCACCGGAATCATGCACTTTCCCGTCATGGCCCCCATGCGTGGAGGCCATGAGGGGTTTTCCCTCCCACTCAAAGAGATTGGGATCAGCGCAATCCCGTCAACAACACCCCCCGTAGGGAACCCCCAATTCCCGCCACAGCCCTTCGAATGGATGATGTTGCAGACTTTTGTGTTGTCCCCCTTCACAATCACAAGGGAAAAAACACAATCGCGGTGCCATTCGCCACCACGCCCCTGCCGCCAATACCCCAGAAACCATTCCATGACTTCGCTCGTAGCTGACCGTCAAAAACAGCCTTGGAAAGTTTCCCAGCACCCCACGTGATGCGTTTGCCCACATCGTTGGAGACCAACAACGTCACCCAAAACAGGCACAAGCTCCCACCTGTGTGGAGTTTACAAAATCGCGCTGGCATTTTTCGCAGGAAGGCGTTCCACAGGCAGAAAAATATTGCCGTCTTTCGTCAACGCCTTGGGACCGTTCAATTGAGACGCGTGAACCGCCTCTTCTCTTCGTTCCACGGCAATGACCGTCCTCCAGTCCGTCACGCTCTCCGCTGCGATTCCTTTCGTCCACTCCTCCCGTGTAAAACTCACGTACTTTGCCCAAATGCCAACACTGGCACTAGAAGGGACTCCCTAATTGGCCTTGGCAATACCCACAATCAAGCCATAGTATTTCAAAAAGAAAACGGCCAATAAAGAATTTGAAACCATTTTCTCCATAGCTGTTGCCTCTCAAATGCGCCAGAAGACACCTTCGTTTCCCGCCATACAAAAATGACCGTAGGCTTTGGATCACTCGCCTTCTTCGCATGCGCACCTCCAGTGCCACAGCACACCATCACAAAAAGGAGGAGGAGCAGCACCGCAGAAATAAACACACGCCGCGACATGTTGGGCCTCTGCGGCTCACTCTCTCTTCCTTCCCTCCTCCTTCCGCTGGATCCGGTCACGCGGCGACGGTTGTGTGTGCGGGGTGCCTTCACTGCAGCAACACGTGAGACCATAGAAATATGTGTGTGGGCGGTCTGTGTGATGTTGTTCCTTTCAGAGCCTTCGAATTTCACAGTAGCGTTTAGCGCTTGCTTGTTTCCTTCGTAAGAGTGAAAGAGAAAAAATGCCCACAAAAGAAGCACAACAGTGAGCACCGCCAATCATCCACAGTGAGTGGCACCATCATCCCCGCCGCAGTCACTCCCAACAACAAAAACTCACGCACACAGACACACGGAACAGGAGATGAAAGAACAGTGCACCGGGAACACACAGCGACTGCCACCAGCAGGAATAACGGCGAGTTTGTCATTATTTACAAGTCAGCACACACCGAGCAACACCAACACACACAAAACAACCAGCAAATTACAAAAGAGCACAACCGCCCTTCGCAGCACCCACGTGCTGCCGCGATTCGTTTTACTTTAGTCCCTACTGGATGCCGCTCCTCCGCCAGCGCACATCACCCCGCACAGCCAAAGAATATCGGCAAATCCACAGCGGGAGAGACACGTCAGCACTTGCAGCTGCTGGAAAAAAATTAATCCACACTTGTCCCAGGCAAACTCAATGCCACCCAATCGACCACACACCAGCAGCACGTCAACAAGACAAATCGCGAGCTCAATTCAACCCTCTTAGCAAAGGCCGCCGCAGTCAGAATATTGTGCGTGCGTGCGTTCTCAGCGTTCACTCAGCTCCACGGCGTGTGCGACATGGCATGTGTATGTGCTTGTACTTGTGTGTTTGTCAGCGCCTATGCATGCAGAGCAGCTGTGCGCCACAAGAGAGTCCAAAGAAAGCAACGGCAGAGAGATACTGATAGCACACACGCAAATTCCTCATATCATCACACACGCGCAGTCTGTGAAATGGGTGCTCTAAGCTACAACACAAGTAAAACATTAAAAAAAAAGCCAAAGCGTGGGACGACCAGCGCACACACTCTCATTGCTCCCGTGAAGCAAAACACACACACAGGGAGAGAGAGAGAGAGAGGTCGCCCACTCAATGCAATAAAAACAGAAACAGTTACGGTGCTCCGCCCATGCAGCCAGGCAGGACGGCAGCGGTGCGTGTCGTGCAAAAGAGAGCACCAACGGGCATGCATGGGTGTGCATGCATATATACAATGGGCACATTATGTGTGTGCTTCGTGGGGTGAGGTGAGGGCGAGAGTCCATGCAACGGGACACACACAGAGAGTGAGAGAAGGACGAGTGTGTGTGCGGGCGGTGCATGGCTCTCTCTCCCTCACTCTTACGCGGCCACCACCGCAGCAGCAGCCGCACACGCAACAAGAAGAAGAAGCAAAAGAGGGGAGGTGGTGTGGGAGACCGCGGTGCTGCCGTCACTGTTTTGTGTGTTCGTCGTATCAGTTGTATTGGCGGTTACTGTCGTTGCTTTTGTATCTTCCCCAGTCACTTCTGAGCCTTTGTCTTGGTGGCTTTGTGGTGTGGCTGCGGTCGCAGGGGACGGAACATTTTTTTTATCTTCATTCGTGGTGTCTTCGCCATCCTGTTCGCGGGAATCAACACCGTCTTTTGAAGATGATGGAAGATTTCCTCCCCCAGGCAGTCTGTTCTCTCCGTTAACTGTTTTAAGTACGTTCTCTGCAGGTGTATTTTCGTCAGTCTCATTTTTTTTTTTCTATCTTCGTTTGCGTGGGATTGGCATTTGATTCCCGACTGCCGGAAGGAGAAATGTCCCCTGCAGGTGCAATTGAGTGGTGATTTTCCTGATCACTCCCACTTATATTATTTTCCCTGGAACCTGGCTCTGGTGCAGCTTTTCCTTCTTGTACACTCTGCCTTTCTATACTTTTTCTTTCTCCATCTTCCGCCCCTGCATCTTCGTCATTATATTCACTATCTTCTTCTTCATCTTCATCTCCTGCAGATGTGGGAGGTAATTCTTCTTTAAGACCTCCTGATCCATTTCTAAATTCTTGCGTGCTTTCTGGAGACGTTCCAAGTTCTTTTGATTCCAGCAGACGTTCACCACCTATACCAGAAACTGCCGTGTCCTCCACCGCAGCACCGCACCACAGCACGCAGAGGGCACACACCAGCAGCGCACGGCCAGTCATCATCATCGCCATCACTCCTGTCACTTGCGTGCAGCCTTCAGCACAAACTAACTCCCCGTCAACGCAGAGTGAAGGCAAAAGAAAAGACAAGTCCGCTACACCACACACAGTCACTGCACAGTCACAAATGATAGCGGCTTGCACAGACCATGGGGCAGTTGGAATCAGTAAAAGGCAAAACGCAAACACACAGCCCGAAAGCAATAATTGATCAGCAAGAAAAAATAAAAAAAAAAAAAGGCTGCATCGAATGGCCCCAGTGCGCATGCACCAGCACACAAAAATGCGTCCACGCAAACAGTTGTGAGCGTGTCGTATATATGAGTGTGTCTGGGATGCGTTCAACGTGACGGATACAGTGAGCAGAAACATGGAGCACACAGCAGGGCAGAGGAAGCAAGTGAAGCAAAACACAATCATTATTACTCTTATTTATTACTTAGAAAAACAAATGAGACTCACAAGTCCCCGTGGCTGAGTGCTGGCACGCACAGCCCGCATACACTTCTTCAGCCCAGAGTGGTGTACGCCAGCGCGGATGCGGCGAGCAGCAGCGGGGCACACACCCACGCAGAGCTGCTGAGGCTGCCGTCGATTTCACGAAGACGTGACGGTGCGCGGGTGGTCGTCGTGGTTGGCGCCCCTGTACTCGTGGTTGTAGTGGTGGTAGTCGTGGTCGTCGTGTTCGTCGTGGTCGTAGTTGGTGCGGCGGCCTTCTTTTGTTCATTTGACGTGTTAGTGTTCGTATTTTCAGTCTCTTCCTTGCTTAATTGCCCTTCCTGATCCTGTTTCTTATTGAGATTACGTTGTGACTCTGCCGTTTCGGTTACTGTACTCGTTGTCTCTAACGTATGAGTCACCATAGTTTCTGTCTGTTTATTGTCTTTCTCTCCCTCTCCTGTCTTTTGCGAAGGAGAAGTTGTACTGGGCGATTCCGTCAAATGATCTTGTTCGTCTGGCTCAGAATTTGTTGAACCGGAATCTTTTCCAGAATTACCAGCTATATCTTCAGTTGTTGTCACGCACACGGAAGGGCAGCAGCACAGGACGAGCACCAACAGGGCGCACAGCAGACGGCACGTCATCATCGTGAGTGTGGTCGTTCAGTGGTGTGGAGCTGATCTGCACAGTGAGGGACATGGAGAGCAACAGGGGAGACGAGAGGTGCGGCAGACACACACACAGAGGGCACACCACATGAGGAGAGGGCAGCAGCCAGGCATGCACCGTACGCCGCACAACACGCACGACACACACTCCAATCCACGGCAGCAGGCACACACACACACAGCCCTGCCGCAACACCAACACACAGATGGAGGAGGGAGAAGCAAACAGGAGCGGCACACAAGGCTCCACCGCATGCACATACGGCGAGAGCGGTCCGTCGTGTCGGCACCCCTCACGGAGGGTACGCACACACACAAGAGGAGGTGCAGCGCACACAGCAACACAAAAGCAAAGTAACTAAAAAAGGAGAGATCCCCGCACACCACGTGGATTGTTGGTCCACAGGAAGTGCAGCCAAAATTCATCACAAGAACAATTCATTTTTCTTTGGCCTTCGTTCAGCTTCGGCGCACACCACTTCATGCAGGCCTGGGAACCACCGCAGCTGCTGACGCGCACGCAAAAATAAGTGCAAGGAATGGAATAAATCAAGCAACCATTTATTTGTGTTTCTGTTTGGATGTTGGCAGATGTCTGCATGCGCTTCGTTTTTTGTTTTTGCGGAGGGCAAACCTTCATGCCGGGGTCGTGTGTTGGGATTTCTGCAGGGTGCACAATTTGTTTTTATTTCCTCTTGTGAATGTTTCTTGTGTTGGTGCAGCCAATAATTCGGTTTGTGTTGTTCCTGCTTCCCTTTGGTAAAGTGGTGCAATAGATGTTTGTTTTTCCTTTCGTTGCTGTGGCACCTGATTCCTCACCGTTTATTGCGGTGGAAATGAAAATATGTGAGTGGAGTCCCACACACCAGAACGCACCTTCGCTCCTATTTATTGGTGCATGGAAGGGCATGTGTGTTTGGTGGTGTCTCGTCCATATATTTTGTGGGTGTACATTCCCCTGCAGGCTGAGGGCGGGGTGACGCTCCGTCGCGGTGCACTTCCCTCGCATGCCGCCCACCGTGATTCATCATGCATCACCCCCTCACATACTCCGTGGTGCCACACCGCTGATATTATTGCAGCCGCTGTGATTGCGCGTACTTCACGCATTTGATTGTGCCACAACACATCCGCTCGTGTGGCCGCCGCATCCAAACAGCGGTGCCCAACACCGTGAGCGGCAGTCCACATCCCTGCATTTCCCAACGCAGTGGTGTTTGACTGTCAGCCAGGCGTCAGACAACAGGAGAGTCTTGTGCTGGCAGTACAACACACGGAGCTGCAGTGAATGAATCGGGCGGCGACGCATCTATTTGTCGCAAAGCAGTGAAAAGGAGTCGGGCAAAATAATGCCGGCTGCATTCACGACACCACATCCACAGCCAAAGCATGCGACGTGATGTGTGTTTCACTGGTGCTGTGAAATGCCTGCAGACGACGTCACTAGTGGAGGCATGCCACCCATGATCAGCGGACAGACAATAATCGGCATGGGAGGCCACAAAAGGCAGCAACGACGCCAGCAGCAGGAGCAGCTCTCTCTCTCTCTCTGTGTTGCCTCCGAGAAGTAAATATTCCACCAGCCACAGCTGACTGTGCCATCGTGACACTCCATGCACGTCGTGGCTGCGTCAACACATCCTGCTCCCTGCTGCGCCTCAAAAGATGCCTCACTCCGTCCACTAAGTGCATCGGTATGGGCCGTGCCTGGGCTGTTCGTGAGAACCACAACGATGTGAGGGTCACCGAGTCGCAGCATGTTTGTTGTGACGTTGTTGCATGGCACCTGCACACACACACACACGCAGCGCCTGCATCCCTCCCTTTTGTGTCCGCCCTCTGCCGGAGTGGCCACACACACGGGCAGCAGCAAAATCACTTCACCCTCGACGATCCAAAATCAACACCGACATCCCTCGCGACGCAAAGATCTCAGTTGCCAGCACGAGCCTCCTGCCGCTCTGCCATCGACGCTGAAACGCGGCACAGTGCACGCACCTATTTTCCTCGTGTGCAGTCAGCCGTTTGCTTCACACATTCTTCGGTGGGCTGACGTCCGCAAAAGCACGCCACAAAAGGCCACGGTGATCGCACACGCTCTTGCGATAAGCGTCGGTGTGTGCATGGATCCGCTGCTCACACGTGCTGGCAGGCAGCCTGCAGCCGGTGCCCTCGTGCCAGTTCATCGGCTCCAGCACGGAAAAGAGAAAACGGCCTATTCCCGATGCACTTATTCCCACCAGCAGCACCAACACGCTGGTCGCCATTCGTCATTCCTCAGCACATCCAGGAATGCTGAAAAGTGACGTGGAGCTGTCAGCCAGCAATGCCACAATCCCCGCACACATGTCGGCTCCACCAGAGAAGACACACAAATCACAAACAACACCCTCCACATGTCATCCGAACATCATTCCAACACACCGCAACACGCCAAACAGAAGTATTCGTCACCCCAATGCACCTCCCCACACAATCACATAGTCCATGCACCACGCACGGCAGCAGCCCACACGCGGTCAAACAAATGTTCCTCGGATCAGTGCTATCCACGTGCTGCAGTGGGAAGTAAACAAAAGAGATGAGCTGCCAAACCCCAAAAGAGTGCCACGACTGGCCGCAAGTCAACGGAACGCAGCCACTCAAATCAATTCAGTCCTCATGCCCTCAACCTCCCACCTTCTCCCACAAAAGCTGCAAAAGATTGAAAACAAACGCACCATCCAACAAATTCTTTGTGCAACACCAAAAGAAGCCGCAGTGCCTTATGCTGTCCTCACAGTCCGTTGATGACGCCTGGATGCGTATGGGCACCCATCGGTCCTCACAAACGACGCCGCACATTCGCGACGCATCCTGCGCTCTGAGAAAAGCGTCCCTCACTATCACCAGAGACGCCCACGCACCGTCGGTACGCAACAAATCGTCAAGGAACGAAGGATACGTCAGGCTGACAGCAAGACACCTGTCGACAAATCGCGTGGCAGAGATCATCAATAGCAGCACCAGAAGCGCCGCAGGCAGCAAAGTAAAGTAACGTCGATCAACGGGCGCATGGCGTATATCAAAGAAAAAAACATTGGCGGCGTCACAAGAAACAAAAGACTGACACTCTCTCAACAAGAAAGAAGGAATACAAGAATTCGAAAAAAAAAAAAAAACAATTTAGGCGTCCGCAGTCAAAGCAAGCCAATAATCGAAAAGAGGGTAATGGGTGCACTCAACCACAACAGAAGAAAAGCAATAAAACAATAGACAAAAAAAAAGCAAAAGCCGAAGCGTGGGACAACCAGCGCACACACTCTCATTGCTCCCGTAAAGCAAAACACACACACAGGGAGAGAGAGAGAGAGAGAGGTCGCCCACTCAATGCAATGGAAACAAAAACAGTTACGGTGCTCCGCCCATGCAGCCAGGCAGGACGGCAGCGGTGCGTGTCGTGCAAAAGAGAGCACCAACAGGCATGCATGGGTGTGCATGCATATATACAATGGGCACATTATGTGTGTGCCTCGTGGGGTGAGGTGAGGGCAAGAGTCCATGCAAGGGGACACACACACAGAGAGAGAGAAGGACGAGTGTGTGTGCGGGCGGTGCACGGCTCTCTCTCCCTCACTCTCACGCGGCCACCACCGCAGCAGCAGCCGCACACGCAACAACAAGAAGAAGAAGCAAAAGAGGGGAGGTGGTGTGGGAGGCCGCGGTGCTGCTGTCATTGTCGCCAGGTGTCGCCGTATGATTTGTTTGAGCAGCGGTGGTTGTTTTTGCTGTTTGTTGTGATGCATCACTCATTTTGACGGTGTTGCTCTCACTAACGTCAGTCGGTGTCGTGGAACTTGTTTGAGTGGTAATGGCCGGTGCGGCTGTGGAAATTTCCAAGGGTTGTTCCAAGAAAGGAGTGGCGTTTTCATCTTCCTGCCCCTCATCTGACGGTGCTGCAACAATAATTTCAGTACTCCTCGGAGTATCTTCTCTGCGTTCCCCACTATTACTGCTGACGGTATTGTTGTTACTTGAAACAGGTGGCGGATCATTTCTCTCTGGAACTCCATCTAATGCATGCTTCCTCTCCTCTTGACCGAGTGACGCCCCGGTTTCCCTGGTGGACCTTAATGTTGTTCATCTTGCCGCTGTTCTCCCGATGATTGTGAAGGTGTCACTGGATCCTTGTGTTCGTGGTCGGATTGCGTCTGCTGTTTTGTTGATTCAATCCCTGAGGCAGCTTCCAATGACGATATCCCGGGTGACGAATCCCCAACTTTCTGCAGCTGTGATTGCTGTGCAGAAAGGTTTTCCGCTCCACCAGGCACCATACGACCAGTGTCTTTGTCGGCAGCTCCAGAACCACCACTCGCAGAAATAACAGGTGCATCGTCAACAGGTACCACCTCGTCAGCAAAGACACCGCCGGCACCGCACCACAGCACGCAGAGGGCACACAACAGCAGCACACGGCCAGTCATCATCATCGCCATCACTCCTGCCACTTACGTGTAGCCTTCAGCACAAACTAACTCCCCGTCAGCGCAGAGTGAAAGGAAAAACAGCGAGACACGTCCGCTACAACACACACAACCGACGCACAGTGACAAATGGCAGCAGCCCAGAAGCAGCACATACCATGAGGCAGTAGAAACCAGTGGAAATGGGAAACACGAACACACCGCCCGAAGCAAATAATGAGAAAAAAAAACACAAAAGAATTAAAAACAAAACACGATTAAAAAGCAACAATAAAGTTTAAAAAGTCAAAAAAAAAAAAAAAACACAAAAAACAAGAAGCTGCGCCCAATGGCTCCAGCGTGCATGAACCAGCACCCAACAGTGGGTCCACGCAAACAGTTGTGTGCGTGTTTTGCATAAGGATGTGTCTGGTATGTATTCAACGTGACGGATACAGGGAGCAGCAACGCGGAGCACACAGCAGGGCAGCGGAAGCAAAGGAAGCAAATCACAATCATTATTTTCTCTTATTTATTTACATCGGACCACAGTGGACGCGCGCAAATCCCCGCGGTTGAGTGCTGGCACGCACAGCCCGCATACACCTCTTCAGCCCAGAGTGGTGTACGCCAGCGCGGATACGGCGAGCAGCAGCGGGGCACACACCCACGCAGAGCTGCTGAGGCTGTCGTCGATTTCGCGGAGACGTGACGGTACGCGGGTGGTCGTCGTGGTTTGCGCCTCTGTAGTCGTAGTACTTGGTGCCTCTGGCGCGGTGGTGGTGGTGGTCGTCGTAGTAGTGGTCGTGGTGGTCGTGGTTGGTGCCTTTGTGGTATTCGTCGTGGTCGTAGTTGATGGTGTATTTGTTTTAATCCCAATCGTAATTGGCGCAGTGATTCCCTTTCCTAAACTGTTTCCCGGCTTTTTTGGAGGAGTTGTTGCCCTTGACTTCTCATCGTGCTCATTTGACGTAACGGTCTTAACGTGTTCTATCGGTTCTTCGATGGATTGCCCATCTTCTTCCTGTACATTATTGAGATTGTGTTCTGAATGTGCCGTTTCTTTTATTGTACCCGTTGTCATTAACGCATGAGACGCTGCATTTGGTTTCTCCGCCGTCCCTTTATTCGCCTCCTCTTTTGTGTGTGGCGGAAGTTGAGCCGTAATAGACAAATCCGTCGCCTCACTTGCTTCCCCTTTCTCATTTCCTTTTGCACCAGAAATATCTTTTTCAGCTTTACCTCCACTCTCAGTCGCCCACACGGACGGGCAACAGCACAGGGCGAGCACCAACAGGGCGCACAGCAGACGGCACGTCATCATCGTGAGTGTGGTCGTTCAGTGGTGTGGAGCTGATCTGCACAGTGAGGGACATGGAGAGCAACAGGGGAGACGAGAGGTGCGGCAGACACACACAGAGGGCACACCACATGAGAAGAGGGCAGCAGCCAGGCATGCACCGTACGCCGCACACCACGCACGACACACACTCCAATCCACGGCAACAGGCACACACACACAGCCCTGCCGCAACACAAACACACAGATGGAGGAGGGAGAAGCAAACAGGAGCGGCACACAAGGCTCCACCGCATGCACACACGGCGAGAGCGGTCCGTCGTGTCGGCACCCCTCACGGAGGGTACGCACACACAAGAGGAGGTGCAGCGCCCACAGCAACACAAAAGCAAAGTAACAATAAAAAAGGAGAGATCCCCGCACACCACGTGGATTGTTGGTCCACGGGAAGTGCAGTCAATATTCATCACAAAAACAATTCAGTTGCCATCGGCCTTCCTTCATATTCAGCGCACATCACTTCATACAGGCCCGGACGCCACCATCGCAGCAGCCGCTGCATAACTGAAAATAAGACGCAAAAGATGGGAAGTGGTGTAGAAGACCGCGGTGCTGCTGTCGCTGTCGGCGGTGGTCGTTGTTCCTTTTTCATTGTTGGTGACTGATGTTGTCGTTAATTATGCCGGTTGTTTGGCTGCAAATGATGTCGGAAGACAACTGGTGTCCTGACACTCCGTCAATGCCTTCCCTGTCCCGTCGATTTCTGTGCTCGCTGGTGGTGTGGGTGGGTCGCTGGGGTAGGCGAGACGCTGACAGGGCTGCCAGCACCATCTGACTGAAATTGTTCTGCCGTGTTCTCGTCCCCAGTCCCACTGCACCAGCTGCTGGGGCGGTGCAGCGGTCATGCCAGAAGCACCAGCAATGGGCTGGGGTGTCGGCCGCATCAACCAATGGGTGTGTGTCCGCAAGCGACAGGAACATGCATCGACAGGGAGTCTGCACCGACGCTCGGGAATGGGGAACAGTGGCGCCAAGCGGAACAGTGCGTGCCACCCCGGAAAATCCGCAAGGCGTGTAGTCGCATGAGGCTGCGTTACTGCCGTGGCCAAGGAAATGAATGGCGGTGCTGGTGGCGTCCTCGTCGTGCGTCCCCTCCTGCCACTCCTCGCGGTAAACCCATTGCCTGAGTACATTTGATTCCGCCTGAGAAGCCAATTAAAAATGTTCTTCCGGTAGACGTATTGTACTCGTAACTGGCCACGGCCGCCCGCAATGCCTCCAGCGGATACACCTGCGATGCACGGTCAATGCAATCCACATCCACTCGTCGTGCACCATCCAACACCATCTTTTCCTTGGAGCTATGAACAACGCCGGGCACACACTCCTTTTCGGCTGTCCACGGCATGCGTCTGCGGTGAGAATCCAAAGAAATTCCCATTCCTTTTGTGCACAAAGTCATGGAGCTGACGCCGTTAAGCGCGTCCTGGCGAGGGCAACAACAGCCCGCCGCAGCACTCACGAATGCCCACCCGTTGCCTCCTGTGCAAAAAAAAATAGACGTTGGAGGGAAAAGCGCGCACAAATGCCCCAGCAAAAAAAGTCAGCACCAGCGGATGAACACTGAAGCCGTGGATGCATGCTCCACAAATGTCCTTCCTTTTTTATCCGCCTTCTTAGTTGCATGGAAATGGTCCGAAACCGCACAGGCAGGCAAGAATACAAAAGCAAAAGGCGAGCGGCGCGGCCGTTGAAACACACACACACGTATCGTATGAAACGCTTCTTGGAAAGAAAGGGAAGGCAAGAAGAAGCGCACACAATCCCCATGGACACCCGCAATTGTGTGTGTTTGTATATTTCCCACTCTTTGGCCCTCGATGCATTCCTGTGCGTGCCTCGCCCGTGAGTCCCACTGCCGTGGGGTGCCAAGTCCCTGCAAAAACACACCTCAGGACGCAGCATCGAGGCTCCCAATGAGCACCTCACGGCCATGTCTTTTGGATACCTCATGGACCGAGCGCCTCTCGCTGCAGGCCACACCACCCAAAACAAGCAGCAGAATGCGCTGAGGAGTTGTGAGGGCAATCGTCCCACCACCGCCACCCAGATCAGGATGATTCTCCCATTTGCCACCACACCCTTGAAATGGCCCGGCGTTTTTTCCTGCTTCTCCACTGTTTTGGCCACCACTCGCGCCATTTGTCTTCATCACATGATCGCGCTGCACCGATGCCAACGACAGCCCAACCCGCAGCGTCCTATTCCTGCCCGTCTCCACCATCATACAGGCATGCTTCAGAAACGGATCCTCGTCCGTCGCGGCGTTGCTCGCAGAGGCACTCGTGCTCCGTTCGCTCCGCGCCGACGCCGTGCTGTATCGTTGCACGCTCCCGGCCCTCCTCGTCACATGCTCAAGGTTCGCGGACAAATGGGCGTCGGGCGTCAGTCCACCGTCTCGGATCAGCCGCTGCTTCCTGGCCTCCGTCAACTCGTCGGTGCTGCTCGCAGCCACAAGCAACAGGAAAAGACGCAGACGCACTGGCCGGGGCATCGCGGCATCCCTCGTCAGGTGCTGCACGCCATCCGGGTTTTTACTCAAGGGTTTGTGCCAGACGGCGATGTCTTGTTCCACCTCCCGCACCTCCGCCAGTCGCTTCTCCCGGTACTGTGCCACAGGCCTCGCGCAAATGTCGTTGTGCAGCGACAGTCTGGCTTGCCTCTCCCGAAACTCCGGCGGAGCCCGCACCGCACTGCCCAACCTCGCAAGATTGGCCTTCGGCTCCACGCCCTGCGCCAATCCCGGGTGATACGCGTGGAGTTTTTTCAGCGCCACCGAAAGCTCCTCCACGCACTGCGCAAGGAAACAATGACGGTAGGAGCACCGGTACACATCTTCCCCATCAATTACTGCCGCTTCGAGTCCGCCCCAGACAATTCCGACGGGTCCGCTAATAAAAGTTATTCCCCAGCGGCATCAGGTCATCAAGCAGACACTGACATGTGCGTTGGTGCATCAGCGGCGTCACCGTGACACAGCCCCAATCAACGATGATCCGCACCGGGTTGCCGCGGCTGTCGGCGCCCCTAAGTGGAATCCGGCTCGTCGTGGTATTGCCTGGCGAGCCCTCAAAGAAGGTCCTGGCAAACCCATGGCAGATGTTGACCCTTTTTTTGGTAGTGAATGCCGGGCACACCGTTGTTCATGGCGTGAAGAGTCGCCACAAGACGTGACGCCGCAACATCCACAACGGACTCTCAATTCGGGGGCGACAGCGGCGACAGCAGCTGAGGAAACCCATTCTGCATGCTGAGGTGGAACACCAGCACCTCAGGGGCGGCAAAGTCCAACATAATGTCCTTGAAACGCATCGCCCTCGGCGCTATCCGAGCCCGCGCGAGTTGCTGAGAACTGCGATGCGGGGTGCACCCCAGCGCAAAGACGTGTACATCCCTGTAAGGAACCTTTGCCATCCAATCCTCAACCACGCGCCTCACAGACGCATCCTCCACGGAAAAAAGTAGAGTGCAGGGCTACTCATAATCGGCTGCCTCGGTGTCATGAGGTCCTCGAGTAGCGTCACGCCGTGCTCCATGAGGCCATGGGGACGCAGTGAGCAGCTCAGCACAGACGCAGTATGGGCATCGCAGAAAAAAACTTTAAACGATCCATGAACGGCGTTAAGCATCTGATGGAATATATAATCCCGCACACAACCACAAACGCCATTGCTGGGCTCACGCAGCTGCCCCTCTTCCGTCGGCCTTGCTCGCACCAACACGCCCCGCATAATATGTCAAGTACAAGTCACACAGGCAATGTGCTTGGATATGTGTGTGTCTTGTGTGTGCACATTTCACTCGCACCGGTGTGTGTATTTGCTTCTCAGAAAATCTAACAAACACACAAGCAATGCCATACGACCATCTGGTGCCCCCAACATCGGCAACCAAAACAAGAAGAGCTGTGTGCATCGGAAATACCACCAATTTCAAACACAAAGTTAAACGGAGCCCATACAGCACATGCATATGGAGAACGGCACCCATTGAAATGGATGTTTTTCTATTGGACATACAATGGTGAGTGCAGGCCACGCAGGAGGAAGCACAATCGCCTCGCAGCGCAACGCCGTCCACACCGCAACTCCATAGAGAGTTGCCACGGCAGCAGCAGAGGCAAGCAGAAGAAGCAGCGGACAGGGACAAGCAGCAGCAACAGTGTCATCACCGGGAGTCGGAGACGTGTCCTGCTCGCCGTCCGTCTCGCTGCTTCGGTCCCTGCCGCCGAGAGAAGATTCTCGCGGTCTGTCAGGGCATCCTGGCCGGATCCACTTCTCCTCTGGCGACGGATGCTTCTGAGGAGCAGCCGTGTCTACATCCTTCGGTGGGCGCCGCAGTCGGTCTCAATGCTCTCCGCAACGGGGATGGACGCCCGTGGCAATCCTTGTTCAGTAGATGCCGGTGAAACCGTCCTGCTCCACACCCTATCCTCACCGTCCCACGGAACCACTGGAAGTAGGCTACCGCTGGTGGCGGATATCGTGCACACCTGCGCGTGGTCACGGCAAATAACTTTTCCCCCATCGTAGGGTGGAGTGGCCCACGCAATCGTCGCCCCGTCCGTGCATGGGACCAACGGATGTTACCCTTTTCAGTCATTTTCAGATGCACCTTCATGCCAAGGGACCTCAATGCCGCATGCAAGGCAGCACTGAAATATGTCTCCTCCGGGTTCCTCGCATCCGTCGTGTTGTTGGGAAGCGTGTTCAGACACCACGAAGAGGGCTCATCCCCAGGCATCCCAGAAAAATATTCTCCTCTCCAAATAACAGCGTCAATATCCCTCACATCCAGTGCGGGATCAGTGATGAGGCAACGGTCCATCGGGCATTTGGCTGAGCTTTCATGGATACTCCCAAATACCAACCGCGGGAATAACGATCCGACGCGCAGCGTCTGGCAGGAACGCCCACGTCGCAAAGCATGTGGCGATATTCACTCATGTTCGGTGCGGAGCACTTCCTCTGCATTCGCCGGCGCACCCAATCGGTGCCATCCACTCATCCCTCGCGTGGCGCCGCGACCAGTGCGACTCCAGCGTCCTCCCTTCCCCATCGTCATCCTGCAGCTCCATGTCATCAATGTCGTCGCAGTCGTGGTGCTCCCTCGCAGCCATCGCGGAAGTCACCGAGTGCACCACCACCGACAGCGCCCTGCCACGCACACCAATAGCATTCCTCACCATGCTGCGGCTGGCCATGTGCGGGCAGGTGAACCCGACAGCATGGGCCACCAGGTGCGCGGCGATGCGGGTGGCGATGCGTCCGTGAAATGAAACTAACAGGCAAAGTGCATGGCGCCAGCGACTGGACGGCCATCCTCCAGCGTGGCGCACGGCAGTGCCTACACACCACCAGACGCCGCAGCCACGCACTGTGTCATGACAGAAACGGCAACACCAGCGGAAAGATGCCCAGCAGGCACCGTGAACCAAATGCAAACGCTGCCCGTGGCAAATGGGGGCACAATCAACGGACCCTCCAGTGGCCGGACGAGCAGACGATCCACATGCAGTTACACAGCAGCAGGGATAGCCTCCTCGTCAAGGATATTACCGTGCGCAAAGAATAGAACACTATCCTCACAGTGGCGATTGTCATTCAATGAATTCATTGCGTGAGACCAGGAGAAGACGCAGTGCTTCCTGATGTCACACGGGTCTGTTGTTGACGTCTTGATGCGGACGGGCACCCATGGGCCCTTCCAGACGACGCTGCACAACTGCAACGCATCCTGCACCCTGAGATGCATTCTCCCCACCGTAAACGAGAACCTCGCTGTGGGAGCGCACCACATCGTCAATAAATAAGGAATACTTCAGGGTGAAAGCAAGACGTCCGCTAGCAACCCACATCACACAAATCATCACAATAGCAGCACCGGTAGCGATGCAGACCGTGGGGTTAACGTGGATCAACGGACGCACGCCATAAGCCAACGACAATCTTAATGGCTTCACAAGAATACAAGAGGCTGACAGTTCCTCAACAAAAACAAAAAAATAAAATAAAATAAAAATTTCAAGTGTCCGCAGTCAAAGCAACCCAATAATCCACAAAAAAAGGTAATGGGTGCACTCAACCACAACACAAGTAAAACAATAAAAGAAAAGCCGAAGCGTGGGACGACCAGCGCACACACTCTCATTGCTCCCGTAAAAGCAAAACATACACACAGGGAGAGAGAGAGAGAGGTCGCCCACTCAAAGCAATGGAAACAAAAACAGTTACGGCGCTCCGCCCATGCAGCCAGGCAGGACGGCAGCGGTGCGTGTGGTGCAAAAGAGAGCACCAACGGGCCTGCATGGGTGTGCATGCATATATACAATGGGCACATTATGTGTGTGCTTCGTGGGGTGAGGTAAGGGCGAGAGTCCATGCAAGGGGACACACACACACACAGAGAGAAGGACGAGTGTGTGTGCGGGCGGTGCACGGCTCCCTCTCCCTCACTCTCACGCGGCCACCACCGCAGCAGCAGCCGCACACGCAACAACAAGAAGAAGAAGCAAAAGAGGGGAGGTGGTGTGGGAGACCGCGGTGCTGCCGTCACTATTGCCAGGCGTTGCCGTATCATTTGCTTTGGCGTCGGCGAGTGCTTTTTCTGTTTGTGTTGCTGCATCACCGATTGTAGAAGCAGGGTTTGTATAACCAGTTTCGGAGTTCTTGTGTGTTCCTTCGTATTTAAGCGCTTGAGCATTTCTATTGTCCGCATCCGCATTTCTCTGGGCATCGGCACCGCCACTTGCGGGGATGGGTGATGCTGTTGTTCGCGCTGGACTGTCTTGCTCTGCCAAATCATCCCCTGAAGGCTGCTCCACCGCTTTGGACTCCGTTTCGTTTTCTGACGGCAATTTTTCATTCTTTTCTTCCTTTGAGTTCTGTGCGACGTTTGTTGCTCTACGGCTTCCTTCTCCTGCTGAAAAACTCGGTGCTGTTGATTTTTTTTCTGATGGTGCCAGTGCTGATCTTTCTGGTGATGGTGCTGCCGGTGGTTGTGTTAATATTGGCGTTGTTTGTTGTACGGGTGGTTTGCTGGCGGCAGACGACGACCTGGAAGGAATTCCCGTCTCCACAGTATTCTGCACGTTGTCTTTTCCAGTTGTGACCTCCTCTGTGTCTGGACTATCTTCTGTGTCCTGCTCAGTGGAGGACTGCTCTTCTGCTTCTGGTTTTGTTATCGCGGGTGCCTGTGATTTGGGCAGTGAGGGTGCTGGAGGCGTCGTTCCTGAATGCACACCTGTTTCTGAGAAATTATTCTTCTGAGGCGATAAAGCACCGTCGGTATCCTGCAAACCACCAGCGGCAGCATTGGGAAGGGAAGGCGGAAAGTTCACGACAAGACCAGGAGCCTCCAAATTCAAATCCTCACTTCCGTCAGAACTTTCACTTGAGCCAACACCATCAACACCAGAAGGACTGCCACCACCGGCTTCACTGAGACCAGATGCTGTTGGTATTGTTGTTGCCACCTCTTTCGATGAACGTTTGGATTTTCTGGTTTGTTGCGCATCTTCTTTTTCTTTACTTCTCTCTTCTTCCTCTGCTTCTTCAAGATCATCATTATCATCCACTTCCTCTTCTTTCCCAACTCTGTCGGCTGTTGTTCCTGTGACTGTCCCCTCTTGCAAGTTGGAATTGTTCCCATTATTTTTATTCAACGGATGCCCTGGGCTGTCGGACCCTCGTTCGCCAGGCTCCGATAATCCCTTTGGAGCTTCTTCGCCGACACCAGACAAAAGCTGTGAACCCCCCAATGATTCATCGTTAATTTCTGTAACGCCTCCGCCGGCACCGCACCACAGCACGCAGAGGGCACACACCAGCAGCACACGGCCAGTCATCATCATCGCCATCACTCCTGTCACTTGCATGCAGCCTTCAGCACAAACTAACTCCCCGTCAACGGAGAGCAAAAAGCAAAGGAGAGACAATTCACACAGCCACCGCACGCACAGTCACAAATGACAATGCACACACCACGAGGCAGATGGAATCAGTACAATTGCAGAACGCACACACCGCCCTGCAAACCAGAAGTTAAAAAAGCAGTAGAAAAGAACAACAACGGAGTTGAGAGTCCGGCATGACTCCCAAAAAATAATAAAAAAAGAACGATCAGGCACGACTTTCATTTTATGTGCCAAGCAGCACAATGTAAACAACCACTGGTTTGTGTATACGTAATGCCTGGATTGAATAAATCAAAAAAAAAATCGTACTGTTCCACCAGCCCACACAACTCCCCTCACATTTCATGCGGCATCCGGCCTGTCTCTCCAATCCTCCTCTTGTGCAGTCCGTGGGACGCACAGCAGTGAGGCCGGCACCGCGTGTGGGCAAGAGAAGGAAACAAGGAGGAGAAACACGTCACTCATGACAAAGTACAGCAAACGAGCATCGGGGAAAAACACAGGGATGCTGATTATTCCAATAGGGCAAAAGCAGCAAAAATAAATAAATAAAAGAAAATAATAAAACTTAACTTATTGACAAAACTCAGTGGGTAATGCTGGCAAGCTGCACAGTTATTGTTCCACGAAAAACCGCAATTCCACCCTCCCTCACACTTCAGCAGAGTGCCGCAGTGCCTCACAGCCCCAGAATCAGAAGCAACAACACCCGAGACACACACCCATGCACGGTGATGTCACCAATTTCAGCCATGGCCAACAAATCCGTGAAATGCCCGTGCTCACAAAAACCGTTGCTCACAAGTGATGCTGCGTTGTGCTCCGATGGGATCTCTGGTTTCCCAGACGTTGTGCGCAAATAATCCTGTGCGGCATCACCGCCGCCCGACACGTTATCACTCGTTCAGCATTTGCTAGGGCTGTGCTGGGCTCAGGCGTAACTGTTGTACCATCCAAGGGCATTAGATCGCTGTTGCTGAGTGAATCGGGGTCGCTGTCCATGCCCACGGCGGATGCGAGGCATACGTGTCCTATTCATGCTCAACGTCCTGTTATTCGCTGGCAACTGTCTTGGCGGTGGACGGCTCGTTGTCTCTCGCTGAGCGTGCGTGTGGATCCGCTGCGCTGCCACTTGACTCCCCGGACAGCCGCGCTCCCTGTGGGGCCTCACCGCGCAGCTGCCGGCAGCCTTGCATGCTCCTGCCGAGCGGAGTGTCCTGTCACTCAGCATGGCTCAGACAGTTCCCAGTTCCCCGCCTGGCAGCAGCATCCCGAACGCCCACACGAGTTCCTGCCGCCACAGACTCCCTCTCGACGATGAAGTCGCTCCGCCTTGGCTCGC